GGGGGGGGACCGGCCAGTGAATCCAGGCAACTTGGAGGTCAATAGCACGGAGGTAGCGGGTAAACAAGAAGAACCGGTTGGTTGGGGACAGGCTGCCGACATCAATGACATGAAGAACTGGGGTGGCTTTGTGGAGTTCTCTTGAGGGAAGAGATGAGAGGTTTCCATGACTTGTTGAGAGAAAACCCTGTTTCCTTGTTGATGTTGTTCGGATGGAGCTTGATCTCAATGGCCTCCATGATGATGCGATCCAGGTAACGGCTCTTACAGGTGAGTATGGTGGTTTTGTGAAACTGGATACGGTGGTCTAGTTCGATGCTGTGTTCAGCTACGGCTGACTTGTCCAGATGTTCTAGGCGTAAATGCCATTGATGTTCTTTCAACCTGGTGCCCACAGAATGGCCTGTCTGCCCAATGTAGACCTTGCTGCACTTGCAGGGGAATGGCTATAATGACCGGCAGATCCACAGGGCCCTCAACCGCCATCCCAACTACAATCAGCATGATGACCACAGAGACACTGTAGCCTTCTTGCCTTTTGGCGGGACTATATTCAACAGGATCAGCAGAGTGCTGTCCCAACACAACATCAAATCAGTTGGTCTGCCTCCTAAGGAAATATCTAATTTCCTCCAGCCTGTCAAGGATCACCTGGGACTGAGGACACTGGGAATTTACAGAATCCCCTGCGAGTGTGGCAAGGTCTACATTGGGCAAACGGGCCATTCTGTGGACACCAGGTTGAAAGAACATCAACGGCATTAACGCCTAGAACATCCAGACACGTCAGCCGTAGCTGAACACAGCATCCAACTAGACCACCGTATCCAGTTTCACAAAACCGCCATACTCACCTGTAAGAGCCGTTACCCAGATAGCAGCATCATGGAGGCCATTGAGATCGAGCTCCATCCGAACAACATGAACAATGAAACAGGGTTTTGTCTCAGCAAGTCATGGAAACCTCTCATCTCTTCCCTCAAGAGAACTCCACAAAGCCACNGTGAAAACCAAGAATACACGGCGCCAGATCCCAGAAGACGACTTTCTTCATAGTCATCGCCATGAAAACCTCAAAACTTACATAAAAAAATGCTTCATAAATAAACTCTGACTTATTAAATTGAGCCAGATAACTCGGCCTTGAATTAACAATCATTCTATATAGGATATGAGGTTCACACATCAGTGGTTATGAAGAGTGCTATCTTCTGGGATATAGCGCTGTGTAGTCCGTTGAAATTCAACTGAAATTTTGGAGGAACATATCACCTCCACCTTCAGGGTTGAATGAGCTGACCAAGATATCAACATGAAAGGAGGTATTTTGATCAACTTATTCGATCCTGAAGATGGAGGCAATGTGGTCCTCGGAAATGTCAGTTAACTTACAGTGGGCTACAAGGCATTATATCCCAGAAGACAGCACTCTTCACAAACACTGTATACTACATAACAGAATTAAAACAAAACACAGTATATGTTCATACACCAGGAGCCTTGTATTGTGTTATCTCAAAATCAGGACATGGGATTCGTTTTTTTTTCTTATTGAGCAAGTGTGCAGCATCAATCAAATGCATGTTAATTGTTTCTATCATCAATGCTTCTGGGTCCATTTCCTAAATAATAAAAAATAAAAAAAGTCCAGTCATTGTTTTAATGTTTAGTTTTCTTGCTGCTACCCTATCATGTTTAATTCCATTTATTTAAAGCCACCATAAATATCTTTCATATTATATACTCAACTTTTTCTGTAATAAACGTGTCTATAATTTCCACAGGCTATTCCAATTCAATACGAGTATCATGTAAAGCACACATTTTCTGGCTAGCTCATTAAATAACAATAAAATATAAAGCCAGTACTTACGTTGTGGTGTGCACTGACTGAATGGATCTCCTGTAAAGCCAGGAGGGCAAGCACAGATGGGGTTGTGGTTCTTTGTGGTACACTGTGCACCAATGCCACAAGTGTTAGGGCAGGGATCAGCACACTTGAGATTCACACAGGCTCTATCCTGAGGGCACTCAGAGCTGACCACACACTCAGGTCTGCACTGTGGGGGAGAGCCAACATAGTTCTGCTGACATGAGCACACAGCTTGCTGGTTCACCACACGGCACTGACTATTGGGGCCACAAGGTGAAGGGGAACATGGATCCTGAGGTGGTGTCGGAGCTGAAAAAATAAATCACGCGTAACTTGTTTGTCATGGTAATTAATGTTCCTACTGATTATTGAGTTTATTTTGGGTTACAAAAAGGCTATTTATAAAATACAAAACTCGATTTTACAAAACCACCTGCTGTAGGTCAGTTACAAAAATGTAGTACACAGTCAAAGACTGCAATTATGAGTATAATATATAACAAGCATTAATTAAGGCACGGTTAATGAAATAATATTAAATATTCAGAATATATGCAGAAGTGAACACTGAATTACATAATATTCCAGTGCTACATGACCGAATTCCATATGCTGAAACAGAACCTCAAATTAGTCAATGCTCACTTTCGTCCAAATTCTTGGAAAGTCATTACCCACCAATCATTCTGCCATTTAACACCATATGACTAAAGACTTATTAAATAAACTATAAACAAGTATATAAAATTAATTCAGCGTTGTGCATTTCTCATACATGCCTTCACTTACATATCTGATATCTGTTGTTCATGTAATTTGGTCCCTGATTTCACTTCCATTTTTTGAGATTATGGAAATAAAGATACTGAAGGAAAGTAAAATGGATGAATTTCTGTAGGACAATAACTGGACTCCTCTCAGTCTGAGGTAGGTAGTGCCACTGTAAACATTCTTTGTGCATATTTTTGTTACATTGTTAAACTAAATGCATGAAAAACTGTGAGGTATAGATAAAGAATTTTCAAAATAAAAAGTTCTTATTTTCTGAGCAAAATTTTAAGTCATAAATACAACATGGAAATAGGAGCAAGGGCGAAAGTAAGAAAATGGTAGGAAGTACACATTTCTTCACTTACAAATATAATAATAAATTAGAGATTTTGTTCTCTGTATCAAAATATGAGGGAAAGAAGAAACTGAAAGTTGGTAAGCATTCAATTCAAAATGTTAACAAAGTTTAACTGGTAATTAATGTTCATCTCGGATTGATGCAACATCTCTTGGCAGGCCATCGTCTCTTCTTCTTCTAGATGCGCCTCCGTCATTTCTCGTCAGACCATCGTCTCCATGTCTCTTTCTGGTTTGGTTTCGGCAACCATCTCCTTGTGGCTGGTGCCCGTATTTTCTAGCGTGGCGGCCATCTCTTCTCCTCCCATGGCTTTTGTCCTTGCCTGACTGGCTCTCGTTTCTGCTCGGATGGCCCGCATTTTTGCGTCCATATTTTCTCGCCAGGCTTTTCTATCGGCCTTCATTTCTTCCTTGTCGGCCTTCCTATTGGCCTCCGTCTTTTCTTGGTTGGCCCTTATCTCCTTCAGTTTTTTTTTGGCGTGTGTAAGTTCGTAACTAATTCTGACACCAAATTGTCACATGTTGGGTGTATAACGCGACAAACAACTTTACACCGTATTGGATCTAGCGAATTTATTGCACATTCGCTCTTACATTTACACTGTTTACAATCTCACAACTACTGCCATCGGCAGTATCACAATTACTTCTCCTGCTGGAGTCACTGTCATTCACTAAATACAACTCAACTCGGTGACTGCTAGACTGCAACTGACTGGTTACTCCGGTAATCCTCTTGTTATGTAGCTTCCGCACTGACAACACAGAAAATAGTTAAATGATAGCTACCACTGTTGCATAATGTCGAGTTTCCTGACGTTGCTGGGGAACACTGCCGAGAGTTGTTTATTGCTCTGTAGTAACCGCGGTGTCCCTTGTTATGTCACTGTGAGAAGCACTGTTATGTCACCATGGGGAGGGGGATGGAGTGTTCACTGGCCTGTTACCGTAGCAGCGGCAGTTGCTCCGGTGCTGTTACGTCACCATGGAGGGGGGTGTTTACTGAGCGTTGCACTGTCCATGTCACAATATATTGGATGTGAAGAGAAAAGGGAGAGGAACTGACTATATAGTATATTTCTTACATGTCTTGTATTTTCTTTAGCATTTGTATGGTGCTCCTAATGTGGGTATAATAAGAATTCACTAACTCTTATGTATATAGGTTGGTAAAAAAGTTAAAAATGAAGCCATCATACTGTATTATTTTATTTTATTATTATTCATGTGTACATGCCAATTACTGCCATTTTAAAGTTCAAATTATCTACTTTAAATGTTCAAATTTACTACTTTCTGAATTAATTCTCTACTGAGGATGTTCAAGAATACTAGAGCAAGCTCGTTTGCAAAACTGTGGGTCATTATCAATTTTCAAGGTGTCCTCTATGGCTGATTTTAGATTGTCTAATGTTTTTGGTATTAACTCTTGCAGGAAGCAGCTGTTAAAACCTATTTCTTCATGCATCAATGCACTAGCCAACTAGCATACTATGGTGGGTAGAAACTTTTGTGTCTCCCTGCAGACAAGCCCATAACAGCAGAGTTTCATCGTAAACTAGTTGTGAACCGTTTACAAATCTGTGTATGAAGTAAATTTCAGCATTTAAAGGAAGTTAAAGGTGAAATTATGTGAATGAAAATGTCAACAACAGAATTTAAAACAACAGAAGATAAATACTGTTAACTACATATATATAAAACTATAAATAAATAAATTAAACATGACTGATAATAAATTTGTAATACTTAAGTTACTAACATTAAACACAGACACATAGGATGGAGATCAAATAAGAATTCTTTAGGAAAGTAGGCTAAAAAAGGAATTACAAACTATAACTCTTGGTAAGTTCCCTAATCCAAATAATGAATAAAGAGAAATAACTCACGTGTTGGTGGTACTGCTCGACACTGGAAGAAAGGGTCCCCAGTAAATTGTGGTGGACATGTGCATGTTGGAATGTGATTCAATACACTGCACTGAGCTCCAGAACCACATGTTCCTGGACATGGATCCATGCACTTGAATGTGATGCATGCCAACACTTGTGTGCAGTCTGAGTTGACTTCACACTCACGCCTACAACCTCTCTGATCATATGGATCACCTTCATAGCCAGGCAGGCAGGTGCAAGATCCTGCACCATTCCTCTCTCGACATTCAGCATTTGGCCCACATGGAGAGGGGAAGCAAGGGTTCGCTGGTGGCGTTGGTACTGTGGCTGGAAATATATTTGTCACTAATGAAAATTTCAGACTGAAAGGGACTAAGTTATATTTAAGAGAAATGCCAACACTCTAACTGCTTTCAATTTCTGCTGAAAAAGTTCAAAGTAAAAATTGGAACAATGCATATTAGAATAACGATGATGATGATGATGGTGATGACAACGACGACAACGACAACAACAACAACAACGCATTTAATATATTTGAAATAGCATAATATTGTTTTTCCCCATTCTAATATGGTCTTAAGCCTAAATAAATGTGAAGAAAGTCAAATTTTATATGCAATTTGTATGTCATTTTAGAGTTACTGTTGAAAATTCAGTAACTACCATAATCATCCAGCAAAGCTTGATGATAGGATGCTCAAGGTCAAGCATCAGATCTCAACAGTTTGTACTTGTTACTAAGGTCTGCAAAAATTACACTCATATACACTAGCATCTAAACACGCAGTATAAATGGTTATTCACTTCATGTTTCAAGGTAATTATACATCATTTTTCAGTGAAGATCATACGGTGTATTTATATGTGAAAAAAATTGTCAGTTAGTATTAAGCTCATTTACTCATTCACTCACTCGTCACTCATTCACATACCAGTGTAACAAGGCTTTAATTTCCTTGACATAACTACAAACATCTGCCCATGCCCCTTGTGTCAAGAGAATCCTTGACGGTTCAACCATACATTATGAAATATGCAGTACCTAAGCAGCTCACTGCTAACCAAAGAACACAAGAGCTTTCTATATCCACAAACATGAGCATACAGATTAGGATCAGTGACTCTTCAATGAAGATTTCTAAAAATTTATCATACCTTCAGGGGAAACAGTACCTGTGAATGGTGTACATTGATGTACAGCCAAGCACTTACACATGAATTTCAGATGTATATGATTATCTGGTATGAGATAATAGTAACACAATCTGGAGCCATACTATTTTTTTTCTTTTTCACTTCTTCTAAATCTCTAGCATTTTGAATTAACATGTTTAATGCCTTTTATTTTATTTATGTCTCTTGAAGGTGTTATATATAAACAAGAGACTAAACTCATCAAGTACAAATGAGTACAGACATATACATACATACTTGTCTGTGTTCATTTTCAATGGACCAAACATCTTGGTGAGTATCAAACCCTTCACTGAGAATTCTCTATTCTCTTTTCGACAACATTAAGTATACTAGTGTTTCTGCTACATATTACAAATTTCTTCCATCTCAATCCCATCTTCTTATAATTCTTCTACCCTACATCTGAAACCACGACAAACATTTAACAGAAATCCCTACCTAGGGGAACAGCCAGTCAAAAGATGTACTCGTATAGTAACACAGAACAGAAACACAAAAAATGTAGAAATAACAATGTTGTAATGGGATTCAAACCCATGATCACAGCCCAAGCTGTCAAAGACAATATGTTCCTTAGTTTATGTGGTCACTGCAACTTCATTCCTGTCTTCTTAATAGTATTCATAGCCAATCCATTTAATTAAATTCATTAAATCTTGACAATATCAGATCACTTGAAATGCTCTTTCTGCACTATGTTTTAGCATATTAAGCACAGCGATACAATCTGCTGCTTTAAGCACAACAAATGATTATGCGTTCATTGAGTATGAGTGTTATGCATTATGCAGATCCACTGTATATTCATAAGGCAACTACTGCATATCTTTCTGTATCCTCTGTGAGAGCTACTAACAACTATCTGTCACAATAAACTTCAGTAATCTTATGGTCTGTTTCATAACCTGTAGTAACTAACTCATGTTGCAGGAGCCTTGTTGAGAAGCTGATAGTCTGTCAACTGAGCTTACTTATCACATTCACAAGAGTCTACCACTGTATTCACAACTACACAAGATGATCTGGTCCACTCTCTCATTCCCTATTTCTTTAAAACCCATTTTCATACAATCCTTCTATCTATGTTAAGGTCTCCCTTTCTGTTCCTTAGATCATACCGAAGAGTTCAACCAATTATGAGACCATTTGTGATGTTTTATAACTTACAAGGGTTTAGCAGGTAGGGTAGTTAGCCTCCCACACAACCCCCAAGCTGGAAGAATACCCCATGTTGGATGTCCACACCTGGTTATTCAAAATATTAGCATCTACCACATTTCATATCAGGAGGTTTTGTTCTTCATCTGCAGCCTTAGAACACGTCATGTTTTGGCGACATGAAATCTACTCAATTTATTTTAAATGATGTCATGTCTGAATTGCTGATATGTTGCTCAGAGGAAATAAAATGATCAAGTCAAGATTTAAAATTTTTCCAACTTATATGTGCTTGAGATTTGTTATGTCGCATAGCTGGTAACATTTTATAAACTACTGTTGTATTAAAGTTAGAACATATTCTTACATGGTGGTGGTGCCAGAAAGCAGGCTGAATTAGGATTGCCCGTGTAGCCCTGGGGGCATGTACATACTGCACAATGATTCACAACTGTGCACTGTGCAAGGGAGCCACAGGCACCTGAGCATGGGTCTCTGCAGCGTTCGTTCTGGCAGGCTAGATTGCTGGGGCATTCCGCATCAAGCGTGCATTCTGGGCGACAATTTGGAGCTCGTCCCACATAATTTGGCAGGCAAGAGCATGCTGGTTGTGTTCCAATCACCTTACATTGTGAATTGGGCCCACAGGGCGAAGGATTACAAGGATTTCCAACAGGAGCAGGAGTAGTTGCTAGAAGACAAGATACAAGACAAGTACAGAACATGCTAAAAGAAAACAAGTTATAAAGATAGATATTGAAGTGCTAAAATATAAACAGTAACACAAAAGACAGAAGTAATAAAAAAACTCAAGACAGTAAACAAGGAAGAACTGAGATGTTATTCTTTGCCGAATAAACTTTGTAAGAAATTACCAAACTACCGGTATATTCTACAGAACCTTTGCATCACTGAAGGATCTGCAAAGGTCTGATGACAGAGATGAAATTCCTTGTTTAGTCTCTGTGACACCAAGATATAATATTACTGCTCTTTGATGCTATTACTTCTTATTGTACATCACAGGCATGTTTAAATTATCTTTCCTTGATAATTTTCTAAGCAGATCTGACTCAAGAGTGTTCAGAGCAGGCATGCAGACTGCATAAGCCTATGCCTCTGCCACAAAATGCGTGTGTGGAACTGGAACTATACTGCCACAAAAACAAACAGGTGAAATTCTGCAATATCATGTTGATGTATCTAACTACTGTAACTCATAATTTTAGCATATTTGCAATAAGAAAATTAGAAACATTCTGTTCAACAACGCAGCAAGCTGTAGATAAAATCTAATTTTTCATTTCCTTTGTCTTTACCTTTCACACACCAAGCAAAATCCAAACTGATAATCTTCTGATGTATAAAGCTTTAGTTTTTCGAGGGGGTACCATCACTGCAATTTTGTGTAAAGAGTTCCATGGATAAAGAATTTTGGAAAACACTGAACTATACCATTTTTCATGTAACCAGTTTAGTGAAGCTCCATTTATTCTGGAAATAATATTACCCGAGCCGTGCTAACATTTAATTTTGGCTTAAAATTAAGAAAGTAATACAAAACTAAATATTTCCTGAGATACACACATTATCACAACTCTAAACACAGATGGAAAGGAAAGTGTACAGTAAAGGAAGCCATACCACTGACCTGTATGTGAAAAATATGTTATACACAGAGATCTAACTTCAAGAGAGAAAAGACTTCTTCAAGGAATGCATCTTGTTGTGTTATTCTACAAAATTACTTTAAAAATTGTTTCTGTCTAAATACAACAATCATCGAAACTCATACACACACTTAACTGTAGAGTAATGAGTTTATTGGTCTTATGGTATTATATTGCACCACATGTTTCGGCTCCTAAAGCCATCATCAGGCGGTATAATTTAACAATCATTTTTAAACTATTGAATTGTGCTCAATATATGATCTCATATAATTTAAATGCTTATTACTATATATATCTAGTATCCTATTCCGTTAATATATTCAGTCATGGATTTCAGATTAGTTTAGGTAATGAGGGGAACGTGGTAGCGTAGTGGTTAAGGCACTATGCTACAAGTCGGAAGGTCACGGGTTCAAATCCCGATGAGGTCATTCTTCTGGCCGCACTATGGCCCTCGGGTTCACTCAGCCTCTAACAGAAATGAGTACCAGGAATTAAATAAATAATTTAAATACCGCCATCTTTGAGCCGATTGTTTAGATAACGTGGGACCCTCAACGTCTCACAACCCTATGGGCCTTCATGGCCTGTTACAGGGATAGCTTTACTTTTACTTACTTTTACATATATAAAACGTATCTCTCTCACTCACACACACACACACACACATATATATATATATATATATAGAGATAGAGAGAGAGAGATATTTTAGACAGTAACTAAAAACTAGAACAACAAAAAACAATACACGAAAAATACTGGACGTATAAAGGAAAACAAATTTTAACTCATTGTTTTAACATTACAATACAACATAACAACGTAATATATTTTTTGATACACAAATTTTACTATATATATCTTTAAGCATTTCTAAATGTAAAATTTTCACTCCAGTTTTATAATTTTTTATATAAGACTTAAAATAATCTGAGATACATGACTGAATATATTAACTGAACAGGATACCAGGTACATTCAATTATATGAGACCATATACAGAGTGCAGTTCAGNAGGCACTATGCTACAAGTCGGAAGGTCACGGGTTCAAATCCCGATGAGGTCATTCTTCTGGCCGCACTATGGCCCTCGGGTTCACTCAGCCTCTAACAGAAATGAGTACCAGGAATTAAATAAATAATTTAAATACCGCCATCTTTGAGCCGATTGTTTAGATAACGTGGGACCCTCAACGTCTCACAACCCTATGGGCCTTCATGGCCTGTTACAGGGATAGCTTTACTTTTACTTACTTTTACATATATAAAACGTATCTCTCTCACTCACACACACACACACACACATATATATATATATATATATAGAGATAGAGAGAGAGAGATATTTTAGACAGTAACTAAAAACTAGAACAACAAAAAACAATACACGAAAAATACTGGACGTATAAAGGAAAACAAATTTTAACTCATTGTTTTAACATTACAATACAACATAACAACGTAATATATTTTTTGATACACAAATTTTACTATATATATCTTTAAGCATTTCTAAATGTAAAATTTTCACTCCAGTTTTATTATATTTTATATAAGACTTAAAATAATCTGAGATACATGACTGAATATATTAACTGAACAGGATACCAGGTACATTCAATTATATGAGACCATATACAGAGTGCAGTTCAGTAGTTTAAAAATGTGCGTTAATTGCACTGCCTGATGATGGCTTTAGAAGCAGAAACATATAGTGCAATGTAATACTATTAGACCAATAAACTCATTATTGCAAAGCGAAGTATGTATGAGTTTTGATGGTCGTTGTGTTTAGAAAAGAACAATTTTAAAAGGAGTTTTAAAGAACAGACAAATGTGAAAAATATGTGGAAATTCCATTTTTACATACAGCCAATTAAGAACTGCTTCTGCCAACAGAATACAGGACTTAAAGAGTATATTATTGTGGCCTAAGTAAACTACAATTGAGGTAATAACCAATTAATTCAAACCCCCATCTTCATGACTACTTCTATATCATGCGGACGTGATTAAAGCACATTTAAAAGAAGTAACAGTACTTATATTTTACGACTTAAAATGAAGATTCTACCCACATGTAATTTATATAATTTGGATGTCTGGAATACAGCTTGTTATGTCTGAAACAGCAATTTCACTGCACCTTCAGTTATGGTTCATGTTAAAGATTTTAAAAATCAAATGAAATTTCTGTTGGGCAATACTAAGTTCTACCACTTTCAGGAGCACTAGATCAAACCTTTCTGCAATATTTTGTAACAACAGAATAAATGTGAGAGCTTCTTGTGGGCTTTTATGGGTTCTTTGTTGCTCACAATGGTTGGTAGGCTGCTCACTTGAAATGAAAATATAGCAAGATGTTAAATCAAAAGGACTTTAGCTAGTAATTCAACACACGACCACATGAACCTTAATTTAGCAGATACAGAATCGAACCCAGAACATGCCTAAAAGAAACTCCCCTTTAAAACCAAATGACAGAAAAGTGAAGTAAAGAAAGGCAGTGAAGAACAAGAAGCTTACTTGCTTGCATCACACATCTTGTAAAAGGATCTCCAGTAAAGCCAGGAGAGCAGCTACAGATTGGATTGTGGTTCACAACTTGACAGCGAGCATTACGACCACACGTGCCAGGACATGGGTCAACACATTTCTGATTGACACATGCCTGATTCTGTGGGCACTCAGAACTAACAACACATTCTGGTCTACATGAAGGTGGATTTCCAACAAAACCAGGAGAGCAAGAACACACAGCATGTTGATTCACCAACCGACACTGACTGTTGGGTCCACATGGAGACGGATCACATGGATTCTGAGGAGGTTCAGGAACCACTAAATGAAGGCAAGAAACATAAAGAAAATAGCACACATGCCACATTCAACAGCTGAAGATTACAGATCACATTCCAATAACAGTAACAGTAGAGACTATGGAAAGCAAGTTACAAATAATTATAATAAATAAATTAATAACTGCCATGCAAATGGATTTGGCTTTCTGGCAATCATAAATAATTTAGAGGAAAATCCATAAATACAGCATGCATGTAACATTACTTTAGCCAGAATTTTCACTATTCTTTAATAGTAATTAATCATGTGGAAACAAAATAACCTTTAATTTATAAAAGCCCTTAGAATTTTCTGTTGATGGACAAGTTTGAAAAAGAATAATGTGACAGATTAGGAATAAGAAATTAAAAATGAACACCTTCTAACACAAACACAGGACAATGGAAGATGATATTTCAATTCTTTGCTAATATACTGCTGATGATAAGTAAATTTCTATGTCCAATCCATTCATTCTGTACAATTATTAGTTTTATTTCCACCATTAACAAAATAAGGAATGTGCAAAATGTTTCTTTTAAGATCTGTGCATTTATCCTCAAATTTCGGTCCATTAAATGTTCTTAATCAGGGTGTCTTCTGAAATGAGTATATTTTGATGTTAAAGAGCATCTGAATTATAACAGTTTATTGGGAAGCGCTTCATTATATAACTCTACACAGCCAAAAATTACAGTCATCTTCACCACTGTTCATGGTTATGTCAGAGTACATAGAGAGAACAATCATCTTACTAGGCTGAATGGGCACACAGGCAGAGAGAGGATCTCCAGTGTAGCCCACTATACACGTGCAGGATGGAGCATGGTTCACCACACGACATTCAGCATTCAGACCACATGTTCCAGGACAGGGATCATAGCACTTGTTGTTTAAGCATGCTTTGGTGCGATCACAGTCTGAATTGATAACACATTCTGGCCTACAGCCAGTGTATGGGTCTCCAAAATATTCTGGGAGGCATACACAAGACCCAGCACCATTTCGTTCCTTGCACACTGCATTAGCACCACATGGTGATGGATTGCAAGGATTTCCAGGTCCTTCAGTTGGAGTAGGAGCTAGAAAGATTAAATTAGTGACACCAACATAACATAATAAAGAAAATAATTTTGTATTTTTATATAGCTGCTATCAAAATTATGATTATACACTATATACTATGTCACTAACTATATAATAAAATTTGATGTTGTAGGATATATGTCACATGACTAACAGTGATAAATAAAAATCAAATGCTAATTTGTCCACAAATAACGACAGAATTTGAGCTTATGACTGTATTCATAGAGAATAACGTGCCTAGAAATATATGTCTTACATAAGTATGTGGTGGAAGCAAATAAGTGTGCTCTCTTTGTAATGATAAATAGCTGGGTTCATGTTACTATGTTTATAACTGAAAGAACCAGAGGAATGTAGACTGCTTACTTTGCTGAATCTGTGAGCATCCTGTGAACGGATCACCAGTGTATCCCGTCTCACAATAGCACATTGGGGCATGTTTAACAACAACACAGGTGGTATGGGAGCCACATGATCCAGGACAGGGATCTATACATCGTTCATTCTGACATGCTAAGTTGCCAGGGCACTCAGCACTGATTGTACACTCTGGTCGACAGTTTGGTGCTCGGCCCAAGAAATTTGGCAAGCAAGAGCATGCTGGAGTATTTCCAATAGCACGACACTGAGAGTTGGGCCCGCAAGGTGAAGGCACACAAGGATTTCCACTTGGTGGCTGCTGAACAGGAGGTTCTAGAAAAATAGTAACCACATGCCAAAAAGAAACCTTTCACCAGACAGCAACAGAACTGAAGTAATATGACATTTAAAGAGTAACAATGTCAAACTTGTTAATGATAATTAATAATTTGAACACTCAGATTTTATTTCATGCAAATATTCAAAATCATTCGGTATAAGTTACAACATTATGATATTAAATGAAGGAAAATAACGGTGTGTGGATTAAAACACATAATCTTTAGAAGACTGAAGTTTAAACAATTCTATCTGACAAATTCTATTAATATTCAGAGCATTTGGGGGAAACGCTGATATATATGTCAAGTGATAACAAGCTAGTTATCATAAGTTGTAGAGTGTTGAACACAATTCAACATTTTAACTTATATAAGATACAAACATTGCACCAAAGAGAAATAAAAAAGTACAGATAAATAAAATATAACAATAAATTCCTGTTATGTTATAATAATATGTAAGTGTACATATAATAATGTGAAACTAAATTTTGAAAATAATTTAAATTTTAATACAAGTACTTTAATCTGCAAAATTTATCACAACAATATCATACAAGAATTGGAACTTCATGTAATTGATTTTAAACTGGACAGTAATTAAAAAAAGTATCTACAAGAGAGAAAGAATTTCAGTCTTTGTGGAGAGACAAATGGACTGTTGGACAAAGATAATTAATTGAGAAAAACATGTATAATAATCCATACACCACATTAGAAGCTCAAGAGAAAGAGGTTAATGCTTACTTTCTTCCTTTAGACATCTTGTAAAGGGATCACCAGTGAAGCCAGGGTTACAACTACAAATTGGGTTGTGGTTTACAACTTGACACCGAGCATTAAGACCACAAGTGCCTGGACAAGGGTCCACACATTTCTGGTTGACACATGCCCTGTCTTGAGGACATTCAGTGCTCACAACACATTCAGGTTTGCAACTCGGAGGTGTTCCTATGTAATTAGCCTGACAAGAGCAAACTGCATGACCATTCACCACACGGCACTGACTGAATGGTCCGCAAGGAGAAGGCTTGCATGGGTCCTTTGTAGGCTGCTCTGTTGGAGCTGGAGGAATGCAAAGAAAATGGTACATGCATGAAGAACTATACATATTATGATTAAATAGAATAATTCCAAATAGCATTCACTTTCCATGAAATGAAAATAAAATATATACAGATTTTAGGAAACAAAGAATTTGGTAGAACCTCTGTTATTTGATTTCCATATAAGAAAATATCCTCTACTGTATTCTGTTACGCTTGATACTACTCTGCAGACATAATTTATGTTAATAATGTAAGCATATATACTGAATCACAAATATCACAAGATCTGGATGAGATGACATTTATATCAGTTCAATAAAAAGCTATCAATATGAATTTACCTAAACACCTAACATTTCAATTTTTGGTGTGAAATTATAGACCAGACAATGTAGGCTGTGCACAGATGTATGGGTAAGAAAATTACCATTCAGAGCAATTATAATGTTTAGCATAAATATTCCTACACAAGTAACGTATAAAGAAGAAAATAATTTTTATGACAGGAGAAATCCACATACATGTCTTACTTTGAGTACCAGTTTTGTTTTATATATCTTTCATGACATAAAATCTATGTACATAACTTCCTTTGTGTACTAGTTTTGTTTTATACTAGTCTATCTACTTCCAACTGCAATGCATTAAGCATCAATGTCACTAATTGTTCAGACTAATATTTCTGTCACGTTCTGATTAGCTGACATATTTAATCTACCCATTAAATCATTATATCAAATAACTGAGATTAGTACCTTAAAGAAAAGATACATTGTTACATTCAGTAAATGCAAGTATTGTAATGTTAAGTGTTTTTCTTACTAGCTGGAGGAAGATGGCAAGAACTGAGAGGGTTGCCAGTATAGCCAGGTAGACAACTGCAGGAAGGAGCATGATTCACAACACGACATTCAGCATTGAGACCACAGGTGCCTGGGCATGGGTCCACACATTTGTTTCGCACACATGCTTTTGCTTTGTCACAATCTGTGTTGAGAACACACTCAGGTCGACAGCTTGAATACGGATCACCCGTATATTCAGGAAGACAGGTGCATGACCCAGCACCATTACGTTCTTTGCATACAGCATTTGCACCACATGGTGATGGATTGCAAGGATCAAGTGGAGACTCAACTGGCTGAACAGCTGAAAGTTACATTCAGTCCCTATGGTTATCATGTTCACTTAACAGAATACTGATAAATGTACTGAAAACTTAAGAGTTCTGAAATTCATACACTGAAGAAAATGGTTAACCTTCAAAATGGTATATCTTTCAGAGCTGCTACAACATATTACACATATATTATTTACTATGCAATAAAGAATAAGAGAGTATTATTTTAAAACATTACAGAATTATTCTAAATTGAAAAGCATGTTCAAATTTTGTGGAATTCTTAACCAAAGCTGATAATCAGAATAAAAGATATTAAGATTACAATCTTATGGGGTGTGAAACCATGCCATTTGATAAATAGGTACCAATATTTCAAAAGAATTTGCTGCTTCCATCTCCAGGGTATACTTCCACAGATCTCTTGCACCCTGAGGTTACAGACAGCAAGGTTCTCCAAAATGTTGGTATCTATCTACCACATTACATGGGGTCACATCCATGGAAACTGTAATATTAGTTTTCATTGCAATGAGAACTTCAAATCTCATAAATGATACAGACACACATACAAATCTGTACCATGGGTTGAATTTGACAAATAATCAAGGAAAAAAACTGAAATAAGAAATCACTTTAATGACTATTCACACCCTAATTGATTAATCATCTTCCTGAAGTATATATGTGAGACTGAGTAGGTATGTTTAAGTCACCACAGGATTTAAATATGTTTAAATTGTTTTTAAGGAAATAAGGTTTCTGTTCCAAATATCAGAATGGAATGAATCATACATGATCCCATTGACATAATGTACATTGTCTTTCACTGCAGAAAAACAAAAAACATCTATATTAAAGGTAGATATAACATGTAGACTTCTTCCTTGATCTTAGGACACATACTGAAGCACTCTGCAAGTGAGAAAATGTCTTACAACGTTGATTATCAAGTAATCCAGACACAGCTAAGTTACAAATGATATAAAACTTTTACTGAATTGACTAGTGTAGTGGTTAAAATCTTGGATAGGACAGCAGCTATTTTGACTGAGGTCCTTTGTGGTTTTTCTGTCCTCCCAGGCAAATGCCAGGGTAACATCTTGATCAGGCCACAACCCTTCCTTCCAAATCCCTTCCAATTCAACATTCATCTATCGTCATCCTACCATTCAATGACATATGGTCTAGGTATTGACAGTGTCATTATGTAACCCCAAAACACACATGCTATAGAACTTCACATACGTGGTCTGACAATAAAGTTTGTGAACTCATCGCGGTAAAAGTGCTACATACCTCATTGTTAAATATTACTGTGGTTGCCTTCAAAGTGCTCCCCTTGGGAAACTATGCACTGATGCCTACCCCTAGTCTACCCTTCAAAACAATTTTGGAACTGGTTTTGTGGAATGGCCTTCAGGGTTGCCATCATATTACTCCTGATGTCATCAATGTCATCAAAATGCCTTCCTTTCAATATTTCTTCTATCATCAGGAACAGAAAAAAGTTACTGGGGGCTAGAACCGGTGAACAGGGTGGGTGCTCCAGCAAAGTTGTTTGTTTATTAGCTAAAAACTCCCTCACAGACAGTGCCATGTGAGCAGATGCACTGTCGAGATGCAAGATCCATGAGTTGTTGGCAAAAAAAAATTCAGGTCACTTCCATCTAACTTTTCCACACAGCTTTTTCAGTACTTCCAAATAGTAAGCTTGATTGACTGTTTNCAACAACAACAACATTGTTTTGCATTTACTTATTACTCCATATTATCGGGAGTAGATCGTAAATATCCTGTTAATTAAACAAAACTTCCTCATGTCAAGATCTTCACTTAAGATAATCCTGTTTCTCTGTTGATGTTTGCTTACTCTGCTATGCTCCTGACAGACAGCCGATGAATTTCACGAACAATTTGACAAACTTTTGCAATGTCTTCTTCAATTCTACTCTCTGCTGGTTGTCCTGATCTATCTTTGACGGTGATACTTTCTCTTTCCCACTTGTAATCTGTTGTTTCCTTCCCCATGAACATTAACTAACATCTCTCTGATTTTGCTTCCACTCTTGCCAAGTTAACAAGAAATTTAACGTTCATTCTGCCATTTTCACAATGGCACACCAAAACACACTCAGACAATAATAGACACCACTCAGAAAGAGACTGCCATAAATCAACAAAAACAACATAGCTGTGAAACTGATATGTCAATGTTATCAAACCATACTGAGGTTTCTGTCCACTACTGCCATGGCAAGCACACGGTGGCAAGTTCGCAAACTTTGTTGTCAGACCTCGTATTCCCCACAATACATAAATATTAAATTCTCAGTAAATGTAAAGCAACAATCATATAAATACTATTGCCTACACTGTAACATAGACAAAATTCCTTACGTGGTATTAGAGAGCATCCAGTGAAAGGATCGCCTGTATATCCTGGCTGACATGTGCACAATGGGGCATGCTTCACAACAACACAGGTTGCTTGAACCCCACATGAACCTGGGCAAGGATCCCTACAACGCTTATTTTGACATGCCAGATTGCTTGGGCATTCAGCATTAATAGTACATTCGGGGCGACAGTTTGGGGCTCGGCCCACATAGTGTGGCAAGCATGAGCAAGCAGGTGTATTGCCAGCCACATAGCACTGAGAATTGGGACCACAAGGTGAAGGCACACAAAGATTGCCACTTGGAGGTTGAACAGGAGGTTCTAGAAAACAGATAGATGAAAACATGCCAATATACAGTCCACAGAAACATAACAACTGGGAAGAGAAAAAGTTATGTGAACTAGTCAGAAGAATATAAAAAAAATTAAAATTAAAAATATCAATAAGAAGAAAAATAAAGATGTAACATCTGAAGTAATATATTTTCTGGCTTAAAAGTTACAGTAAAAGAATTTAAATCAAAATGAGGAATCTTCAGCATGGTTTTTTTTCCTAAAATGAACTCCAAAATCACACTGCAAGAGTAGCCTCAATAAACTGCTAGTTTGCAAATGGCTCTCAATTTTGCTATTCCTCATACAAACAAAAAACAAACACAATGGTCTGAGTCCAGAAGTGAACTATACCGACTGAGCGACCACTGCTTGATGACGAAGTTAGTGCCAACTTTAGCGGAGAGAGGGTGTCACGTGGCCAGCGCAACAAACCCCCACGGCTGTTAATTTCGGTCTTTTAGACCGGAGCCATTATTTCCTTGAAATAGTTCCTCAATTATCCTCATGAGGCTCAGTGGAACCCATTCCAGACCCACAACTTCTCAGAAAATCTGGTAGTGCTGGGAATCAAACCCAGACCTCTGGATCTGTAGCCAGGAACTCTGACCACTAGATCACAGATGCGATTCCTCATACATGACTTAAATCTATTGTCCAGATACAAGAAGAGAAACCCAACTAAAGAAATGAGAACTCTTACTTTCTTGAAGACATCTGACGAAAGGATCACCAATGAAGCCGATAGTACAGGTACAGATAGGGTTGTGATTCACAACTTGACAGCGAGCATTAAGACCACAAGTGCCTGGACATGGATCCACACATTTTTGATTGACACATGCTTTATCCTGAGCACATTCAGTGCTGACAACACATTCAGGCTTGCAACTTGGAGGTGTTCCTATGTAATTAGCCTGACAAGAGCAAACTGCATGACCATTCACAACACGGCACTGACTGAATGGTCCGCATGGAGAAGGCTTGCATGGATCCTTCTTAGGCAGCTGTGTTGGAGCTACAAGAAAACGAAATGAGACTGGAGAAAACATGAAAAGACGTACATTAAGCAGAATGATAAATGTAAGAAGATGCAGGAATGCAGACTAAGAATTTGTTCCATAGTATAAAAAAATTATTTTTAATATTAAGTATATAAGTAAGACAAATTTGTGGGAAATGAAAGACCAATATCAACACAGCCTATTTAAAATCATGAAATTAATTGTTTAAAACAATTTCTTTGTAAACTATATTAACACTTTATTTGTAGTTGACATTCATCATATAATTTAATGAATGTACACTTGTAAGAATTCTTACACTTGATTTGTCTTACCAGACATAAACTATGTTACAGTTTCTTAGTTCACATTGTATGTATATATGAATTGCATGAAACCAAATACGTAACTCAAAGTATGTATAGAAGTTGAAACATGAAACAGCATATACAAATAGCAGAAAAAAGTATGAGTCAGAAATTAGATAGTATGCAGAACTGAGATGGCCTGGATTCAGTCTGAAAAATACCGATATCATTTAAAATAAGTAAAACTGAACTGGATAGAAATCAAGTTCTTAGTATGTTAAAATTTTGTGAAACATGTTGTCTTGATAATGAGGGCCTTAACTCACAATACTTTGCAGTCACAGGGTTATCACACAGGACTTGACAGACAAGAACATGATAGTAAATATTTGGAGAAAAGGGTATTTTAAACAACAGCAACACTGAAAGCTATGAGCCAGTACATAATTTATGAGCCACAGTGATCAGAAACATCACTTTTGTAATGTGGTGCACACTGTGGTGTGTTGTATAATAGGAAGCATATGATTCTAGTACTTCACAGATGACCAGGCTTACAGAATGGTGCACAACCCGCAATGGGTGAAATAGCATAAAATTACATGAAAAAAAGAATATGTCCAGGAAAACTTTTATATCTGCTTGAAATCATATCTACCAACAGCATGTGTAGGTAAGTCTGAATGTCTGGTAATTATTTTAACCTGAAATGATCAAATTTTTGCATCAAACATATTTATGTATGTATCAAGAATTTCATGTATATTTAAAGGTGGAAAAAGACAGATATTAAAAATGGACCATACTTAACACAGTGACACCCAATTCAGTTACTGACCTGGGAAAAATGAAAATTTTTAATCCAGACAATCATTTTTTCTCCCTATCTTAGAAAACACAAATAGAATTTTGATTTATCCAGCATAGAACATGATATTTACCAAATAAGCATTTGTTTGTCTATTCCTTGTTTATTTTCATATTTATGCCTTCACTGCTTAAAAAAAGATCAAAATCAACAAGTGGTAAACTCTGTTTTCTGCATGTTGCTTGCCTGGCTTACTCTTCAACCCTGAGGCTGGAAGTAGAATGTTTCTCCAAAAGTTCATACACTTTTCCAAGACAGCATTATATAACATCCCAGATGATGATCCTCTTCATGACTACCACTGTAAGACTCTCAAATCTCACATAATTATTTTGGATAATTGGAAAGTTTTTCTTTGTTTCTGCTAGTTTGATTGCTTCAAATCTCTGCCAATCTAACAATTTTCTACTCAACTGAAATCAATGTATGTTTGTATTCATTTATATAATCATATATTTATATATTTCAGTATTTTCAGTCTTTATTTTGTTGACTTTTCTATATATTAGGCTGGATATATCAAAACTCTGCTGTAGATAGTATGAATAGCTCAAAGAAGGAAAGCTTAAGATATATTCTTACTAGGTGGAGGAAGATTGCAAGAACTGAGAGGGTTGCCAGTATAGCCAGGTCTGCAGCTACAGGAGGGAGCATGATTCACAACACGACACTCTGCATTGAGACCACAGGTGCCTGGACAGGGATCCACACACTTGTTCCTAACACAAGCTCTTGCTCTATTGCAATCAGTATTCAGAACACACTCTGGTCGACAACTTGTATATGGGTCGCCTGTATATTCTGGTAAACACGTGCATGCACCAGCACCATTACGTTCCTTGCATACAGCATTTGCACCACATGGTGATGGATTGCAAGGATCTCGCGGAGTCTCAACAGCCTGCATAGCTGCAAGTCATGAAGAAATAAAGAGGTTCATGTAAAATAATACAACTGATGAACAGACTGCTACCAACTCAGTTTACGAACATACTGCAATATGGTAATGTGGCTGCATAAAATCACATCATGAAAGTTTTCCTCTCTTTGCAATAAGATGATCTTAAGGATATTTATGACATAAATTCATGTTCTTATTCTTAGTCAGATGTTCCATCTGTTCAAACTCACTCACTAACACACACACACATCATACACAGCATGTTTGTGTGTGTGTGGGCGCGGGCACAAGGGAGTGTGCAAAGATTAAAACAAATTTATTAAGTTAATATGGTTAACAATTAAATTGTTGGTTACAGCAGCCTATGTAACAAAACTGTCATCATGAAATAGCAACAGAAAAGTCTATGCCTTATTTCATATGATGCCCACTTTGGCACCAAAATGCTACAAAAATCGTGGCAGTCTGATAAAACTATGGCATAACCATTAAGCTGAATTTGAAATTAACTATAAATAAAATTAGATATAAGATATGCTAACAATTTCATTCCAGAATTAATGTTATGACTTTTGTCATATCAGAAAGAAGTAATTTGAGTACAGGATGCTAAATTTAAGTTGCAAAATGCTACCACAGATACTATCATGGAATCATAGTCACCTTCATTGCTAGTGACACTTCATCATTCATAGACATTCCTATACCTCAGACTGTTTTTGACGTTACACTGTTTCAAGAACATGTTAAATATTAGACATTAAAAAGTTGTGAATTATAGCATGTATGATGATGGTCAATTTTAAGTAAAATGTATAATATAGAATATTTAATAAATATAGTCACTGTTGATGTTATTTCAATCAGTAGATTTTTCTGACAGTTATACAGATAGATTCGGGCACAACAGATGTTAAGAACACACAGCCTTTGCAAGAAAGTGGCAAGGATTTAGGCATTCAAATTACTGTTTTATTTACTACTAATCTCCTCTTGAAAATGAACATAATATTTCATCTGACTTTGTGTTTCACTTCTTGTCATTTATGTGCAACTTTGGTTAATATTCACTCATATTCTTCTTGTTATTGTACATCACTACATGCTTAGGCTTAATCACAACAACTTCTACACCTGATGATGGTCAATTCGGCTGAAACATGTAATGATACACAATAAAGAGAAGATGGGTAAATACCAATAGAAGTTTCACATAGGTGCCAAGAAAGGGAACACAAAATCAGACCTACACAGTGCAACAACATGCTGCAATATAATATTATGAAGAGTAATATTTCATGTTTGCACATTAGTCTACTTCATATAAAATCACTTATGATATGTATTCTCGCGTCTGCAGTGAAAGTAGTGTACAGAAAAGGGAAAACATTTATAAAAATAAACTGGGATTAATGAGTTGAAAATTCACAGAAACCTTATCTCCATAAACACAAAAAATGAATTATATTATGTTAACACCTTTACTTCGCACCCACATACACATATGTAAGCATGTGCACACATGCACACACACTCCAATAATGTGTCTACTGGATGCTGACAGATAACTAATCTTCTTCTTTCCATGAGAAATAAGTTAAAATATCACTATCACAATGTTTCCTAGAATTCTATGTTCTTAAAATCTATCTGGAGAAAATTATTTGTAATGCAGATGTGTGTCTTACGTGGTATGAGAGAGCATCCAGCAAAGGGATCTCCTGTAAATCCTGGCTGGCATGTACACACTGGGGCATGCTTCACTACAACACAAGTTGCCTGAACCCCACATGAACCCGGGCAAGGGTCCCTACAACGCTCATTCTGACATGCCAGATTACTGGGGCATTCAGCACTGATTGTACATTCTGGGCGACAGTTCGGTGCTCGGCCCACATAATATGGCAAGCATGAGCAAGCAGGTGTATTGCCAACTGCCCGACATTGAGAGTTTGGACCACAAGGCGAAGGCACACAAGGATTACCACTTGGAGGCTGAACAGGAGGTTCTAGAAAACAGAAGGTGGAAGGCATGCCAGAAAACGCCATTAGAAGAAAAACATGGAAGTTGAAAAAATACAGAGGAAAGTAAAATGAAAACATATGCATACACAGAAAGTAATCCATTACTCAACTCTTAGTTATATAGAAGGATCAGCTGTCACTTCCTAAAATTATCATGCTAAGGAAGGTTATAGGGGGGTGAGGGATACCACAACATATGTTTGTATCACAGTGCCAGTGCTACTGCGGCAAATGATCCATGAAACCAGAAAAACAGATGCAATGTTCCAGAACAAAAACACAAGTGTAGTGCAACTACATGAAATTGGGTCCAGAGGACCCATGAGCACCAATGAAGGTACTGTCTTCTGGGTTTTAACACCATACAGTTCAGAAACAGCCTGATGTTTCTTGCTAACGTTTGGCTCTCTCCAAACTACATGGCATTACAACCCACAAGAAAAGACTCTTCTATTTGGGAATCTTACATTTGTATAAACATAAAGGACAAAGTTATTAATAAATACAGAATTATTCAAGTGTTCATATGTGTATCTGAGAAGGTTTTTTGCATCAAGAGACATTTTATATTTCCCACAGTTCTCTCCCCACCACTACACGTGACAAATGATGTTGACTGCATATGTTATTTATGAGCAGAGTATACAGAACTAGGAAGTAACAGATCTTGTGTAGGGGAAGTGTAGTACCGAAGTGAAAACTGCGCAATCAAGAAACAAACACGTTTCTTGTTCTCATCTGAATTAGTTTATATGGATCAGTGTCATTTTGTCACAACATTAATGCATAATGATTATTTTTCATTCATAAAGTAGTGTACTTTCTCCATGTAAGGATTTCACCTTGCAAGAAGTCAGTTTCAACAGTCTGAAAATACTCTTTACAATTACAAATGAATAAATCTGTCATACATAATGAATAATTAAACCAGCATTTGAGTACCAGCAAAAGATTAAAGTGGAAAGATCTCAGAATCTTCAGATATCAGGTTGAAGAATAAGTTGCATAATTATTCTCAAATATAATCACAAAAGTATGCAGCACTTGACAGAAATAACAAGATATTAGAATGTGAATTCTTAAGTCACTTTAATCCCTCCTGGTCATCAGATACTGATATTCTCCTTTTCCAGACCTTTGGCCCCCACAGAGAGACTAACTCGTCAAGAATTGGAATTTTTCTTGAAGAAAACCATAAAATCTTCAAATAAGATGTTACACTGGAATCTGGAGAAATGTCTTTACTATTATTTAGCTAAAAATAGCAGTTATGTACTACACAACCCCCTTTCAAAATCAATGTAAAGAAATGGCTGTTAATTGTAAGACAGGGAATTAGAATGAAAGGAAGTCTTACTTTTTCTTTTGACACATCTCACAAAGGGATCACCAGTAAAGCCCACGGAGCAGCTACATATAGGATTGTGGTTTACAACTTGGCAGCGAGCATTTAGACCACAAGTGCCTGGACATGGATCTGCGCATTTTTGGTTGATGCATGCTCGATCTTGGGCACAGTCTGCACTCACTACACACTCTGGTCTGCAGGATGGAGGTGTGCCAATAAAGTTAGCTTGGCAAGAGCACACAGGGTGCCCGTTAACAACACGACACAGACTGAATGGTCCACATGGCGAAGGCTGACAAGGGTTCTTTGGAGCTTCTGGAGCTACAGAGAGAGTTGCAAAGTAGGCAGAAGAAAGAATCAATAAAAGTGCAATAGCTAACAAAACAGAAAAAAATAAGAGCAGAAATTCAACTGATATAAGAAAATGAATGGTACACAAACAAATGATATAAGAACATTAAGAATGAGGCAATGAAATAAATTTATGCACAAAATTCTGAAAATGTGAGGGTATACTTTCATACTATCTCTCTTCCTAAGTTCATTTTTTAGTTCAACATTAAAGTTTAAATCAACTTTTATATCTGAAGATCGCTGACATCTAAATTTGTCTTTTTTTTTCTAAATTATAATGTGATACTGATACTGAACAACTGCCAAATAATAAGTGAATTCTGTTCACACGAAACAAAATACTGTTAATACTGCACAGGACCTTCTTTATGTTCCATGCCTCTAGTTGTTTAGCTACAAACAATTAAAGACAGAGAGAACTGAGGAAGAAATCGAGGTTAATATTAGCTTTTCTTGGGTAGATATTCAATAAAATCTTCGGTATATAATGCTGTTGTCCATTCCAAAAAACTAAAAAATTACATACTGATTTATATATTGATTAAACTCACTGGAGACATAAACTGGGACAAACAGTTTGATGCAATTACTGTTCTAGATGGTGTCTAGATACAAGGTGAATGGAGCTTATACTCGTACATATGATGGATATCATTTATGCTTTTTAAATTAGTGAACATATAAAAACAATTTTTTGCTAAAAATTTAATGGATTCTTAAAGTGAAGTACTTAAGAAACAGAAAAAGAAGAAAACTGAAATTGTGAAAAATAAATATGAGCTATGTTTCAAACAGTATGTATTTCTTACTCTATTTTTTACAGCTACTAAATGTACCATATAGCAGTAAAAAAATACATTATCTCTTTAATTTTTCAAATGGTATATTTCAATGTTTAGACCTGTATTATGAAAAGGGCATATATTATGAAACACAGCTCTATATAGGAGAATGAAAGAAGCTTACGAGCAGCAGGCGGAAGATTGCAGGTGCTAAGAGGGTTGCCTGTATAACCAGGCAGACAGCTGCAGGAAGGAGCATGATTCACAACACGACACTCTGCATTGAGACCACATGCACCTGGACACGGATCCACACACTTGTTCCTGACACAAGCTCTTGCTCTATTGCAATCAGTGTTAAGAACGCACTCTGGTCGACAGCCAGTGTACGGATCTCCTGAATATTCTGGTAAGCACGTGCAAGACCCGGCACCATTACGTTCTTTGCATACAGCATTTGCACCACATGGTGACGGATTACAAGGATCTCGGGGACCCTCAACCACTGTAATGTGAATATCAGTATGTCATTCAATGACCCATTCCTTCAGTGAATCAACACCTTATAAATAAATATGTATTAAAGATATATTAAAATTTCATTTATCTCACTTGACATACCAGCACTCATTCTACCATCTGTTACTATTGCAATAATTGATTAATAATCACTCCCATATATAAATGCAACCCCATGACTGACATAGAAGGCACGTGAAATAACTGACTTCCGTTTAAACTGGTCAGAATATAAAACATGATCTTCAAGGAAAAAACTAAGATTTCTTATATGTAATTTTGGATTGTGTGCAGTGTGACAACTACGTAGTGAAAAATACACCTGATGATGGCCAGTTACGGCCAAAACATGTAGTGTAGAGGAAGAAAAAACAAAGTACTACAACTAAATAAATTGTTGCATTCACGACGGTATTTGTACTATTACATATAGAAATGTATAGGGCAACAGGATGCTTAAATATAATACAGTAAGATTTCTTACACTGAGGGGTGTTAGAGCAACCTGCAAAGGGATCAGTGTAGCCTGTTAGGCACAGACACATCAGTGCATTTTTCACTGCAACATATGTCGTATGTGGTCCACATGCACCTTGGCAAGGATCTTTACTTGTACATTGTTCACCCTGACATGCCAAGTTACTGGGGCATTCGGCACTGATGGTGCATTCTTAGTGTGACAGATAATGAAACACAGAAAGAAACAGATCTTACTAGGTTGCACTACATGGCATGAAATGAAAGGATTCTCACTATAGCTTGGCAGACAGCTACAGCAGAGAGAATGGTTCACAACTTGACAATCAGCACTGATGCCACAAGTTACTCGGCAGAGGTTGCGACATTTGTTATTTACATAAGCTTTATCATGTGGCTAAAAATACACTCTGGCAGGCAATTTCTATATGGGTTATCAAAATAACCCTGCAGACAAACGCAGAATCCTTCCTCTTGCCTTTGCTTAGAAACAGCATTAGGACCACATGGAGAAGGGTTACATGAGTCTCAAGGACTGTCTGATATTGCGGGTGCCACTGCTGAATGGTCACAGAGGATACAGTCCATAAAATCTAAAAGTTTGTGATAATGGTATATTCATAGAATTATTGACTTTATCCACCATCCTGGTTTTTCTTAAAACACCGTTTGGGAGACTGGACTCTTGTCTCTGTCCTGTGGTGAAAACCTACCCAGTTGGGCCCAATAAAAAAAGATGGTCCCTATCTCCAAGCCAGAGATAAGGGCTAGCTCTATCGATTGGGCCCAACTGAGTGGGCTACATGCTCAGGATGGAGATAGAGTCCAGTCTCCGAAATGTTGTTTTTAAATAAAAAACAGGATGGTGCATAACATCCAAAAGGAAAACTGTAAAGATACAGTCCACTTGGAAATATATCTAAATATGTGACTTATTTTCAGTCTTCCTAGACAAAATGTCATTCACAACTCATTCACTCAATGTCAGTGCTTTTCTTTAAGCACATACACTTGGTATTATGTTTTACAATGATGATGATGATGGTGGTAAATATATATTTATATAAAATTATATGTATATGTGTCCAAAACCATGATGTTTCATATGTCAGCTATATCCATGACAAGCTAGTTTGAATCTAATGTGACATTTACATCATAAACCACACAGCACAACTAACTGCAACTTTATAAACAACATCTTGAAGAAAACAGTAAATAAATGTAGCTGTTCAGTTATGAATTAAAAATAGCTAACTGCATGAAATGCCTAATTATACTGGAAATACATTCAATAACCATAAATGATAGCATACGACTTTTGCGGGTTACAAGTGTATAAGTTGACAAGGACTTCTGCGCCTCAAGTATGGAGTCTTACTTGCTGGAACAGGAGAACAGCCTGAGAATGGGTCACCTGTAAGTCCAGGCAAACATGTGCATACTGGCCCATGGTTCACTACTCGACAGATTGCTCTCGGCCCACAAGATCCTGGGCACGGATCCCTACAACGTTCCTTCTGACAAGCCAAGTTGCTAGGGCATTCTGCATTGATAGTGCACTCAGGTCGACAGTTTGGAGCTCGGCCCACATAGTTGGGTAAGCATGTGCATGCTGGTGTGTTGGCAACAGCACGACACTGTGAATTGGGCCCACAAGGTGAAGGCACGCAAGGGTTACCACTCGGAAGTTCAGGAGATTCTAGAATAACAGGGGCATTGCCAGTTGGTTTACAAGCAGCAGATAAGGTTATAAATGGAGCAGAATTAAGAGTAAGACAGAGGAAACTACAGTTCAGAGAAAGTGAAGTTACAATTTAAAACATTATTCCATCAAATTATGGGTCAACCAACAGTGACTACCTAGTTAGATGACATAAAGCATGTACTCTATATTAAATAATATTAAGACATTAATGATTTCACAAAATGTAAGCAACAACTAGTATGAGAGTTATAATGTACATGTAACTACAAACAAAAGTTAAAGTCACTGTTATACATTAAGTTAGTAATCAGTTGTTACTGGTTGAGAAATCTATCCTGTAAATTCAACTAAAATATTCTGTTATAGTGTTCCCATGTAGAACAAACCATTGCATTATCTTCAGGTATGAAAACTATGTTTTAAATATTATGCACAAATAAAGGACAATAAGTACAAGCCTCTATCTTATGGACATTTCTGCCATGACTGTAGAAGACTTCACCACACATTAACAGTCATGGAAACATGTGATTTATTTTATCAATTATGTGCTATAGCTGGTTGACAAGCAATGCTATCTATCAATCAAAAGCAATATAAATATATAATCGTTAATTTAAAAGAAGACTCCCACATTACAGTTTCACTTAACTGCAATATTCTGAGACTGATATCTGCTGGGAGAACATTACAACTAACTTGTTGGAACAAAGGCAACTTGGCTGATACTTATTCCCCTTTGTACAAGAATAAAAGTGAAAGAGAAACATGTACAGAGAAGAGGTGAAAATAAGAAGCTTACTTTCTTGTATCAGACATCTCGAAAAAGGATCACCAGTAAAGCCAGGAGCACAGCTACAGACTGGATTGTGGTTCACAACTTGACAGCGAGCATTGACACCACATGTGCCCGGACATGGATCCTGACATTTCTGGTTGATACAGGCTTGGTTTAGTGGGCACTCAGAGCTCACAACACACTGAGGCCTGCATGTGGGTGGAGAACCCACAAAGCCAGGGAGACATGAGCACACAGCATGATTGTTTATAATTCGGCACACGCTATTAGGACCACATGGGCTTGGCAAACAAGGGTTTGCAGGGCAGGCTGGAGCTACAGCTGCATTCCAAAGATGAAAGGAAAAGAGCTTTGTTAGGTGAAGCATTAAATTAACAAATTTACATGTGCACACAAGCATAATGTTATATTATAATGTTATATTATAATAGCATGGCTGAATGTACTCATATACAGTGAAAAGAAATCATTTGTTAATACGTAAAGAAACTTTCAGTTCAGAAATTAAAAACAAACTAAGACTAATTATTTTGTACCTTTCCTGTTCCACTAGCATAAATTTAAGTAATAATTATATACCAAAGAGAACTAAAAGGAAGTGAATTAAGATAGTCCCTTTTAGGAAGATGAAGACAAATTAGGATGTATTAAAATAATTAATGTATTACTCTAGGGCTATGCAATTATCTACAGTAGCTAAGCTTCTTAAAGGGACCATTATCCTACTCAGTTCTAACAAAGTTAACCAAATCTGAATGTCTGCTACTGGGGAAGGAGTGTAATATAAGATTTAGTTTTCAACTTTAATGTCTGGGACATCTATTCCAACATAGCCTGTATAAATTAAAGAATTTAATACCATTTATGTATATGAAACTGTGATTAAACACAATTCTGGAAAAAATACTCCTTACTATACATGAGAAAATGTTCAATTAGAAAACTATCTAGGATAATCATATATGCAAATTTTGTTGACTGTGGCTTGGCAGTTTTAATGCAAATACACTAAGCCTATCTAATCATCTTGTACTGCGCAAAGTGGTTGAAGGTTTGACTTATTTGGGACAGAAACCTTAACCACAATTTCAATCAGTGAGATCACATACTTAAAGTTATAAACAAGAAAAACCTTTCAATTGCCCTGCTATGTACTGGCAACGTATTAAACATCAAGGATGATGGGCTATGTAAAATCAAAGAGAACTGATATAAAAAATATGTGACCTCCACTCTGGTGTACATCTTACTATTCTTATTTGAAAGAAAACATATTCTGAGAATTTGTGTCTTCTCCCTGCAAGCTATGTTTTTTACCCAAGGATGTTTTTAAGAATTTTGTGCTACTATAAAAAGTGACAACTGCTGTCTATGGCTCTACATTTTTATGTAGATATATAAATTTCAGGAAAATATTAAACATCGATATTAGAATGTTACTTAATGATAATTTAAGGCTGTGCCATAGCTCAAGCGGTTAGTTGCTGGCTTCCCATCGTGGCAGCCCGGGTTTGATCCCGGGTCTGGTCAAGTGGGATTTGTGGTGGACAAAGTGGTGCTGGGGCAGGTTTTCTCCGAGTACTTCGGTTTCCCCTGCCAATCATCATTCCACCAATTGCTCCACAATCACCCTCACCTATCATCTGGGGCTGGTACAATACGCCAGAAGTGGCCACAGTACAAGGGACTTAGTCCCACCCCAATAGCAATAAAAAAAATAATAATAATAATTTAAAGTTATAATTGTAAAGCATTGGCAATTTTGATTGTTTACAGCAAAATAATTTTAATGACATACATTGAAGAATATAGATGCTCTATATTGAATTGCTCAATGCAACTACCATATGAAAGAAAATTACCAAAGATGGATATGTTAAATTTAATAATTAGTTGTTATAAATCTAAATATGTAATAGCAAATCAGTGCATGAAGGCTTTAAATCAATATGTTAGTTGCATTATAAATAACTATTAGTTAAAGAATATACTTTGGTTTTCTTGGTTGAATAGTGCCAAGTCTTGAAGAAATGGGCATTAGAAATGCTCCTTCCCATGCCATGATTGTTAATAATTCAGACACCAAATAATCTCTAAATACTGTTGTTCATACATTCTTTGGTTTTATATGTTTCTGCCAAATCGACTTCCAAAATGAATTCTGGTTTGTTGCTTTAAAAAAATATGTAATAATTACATTAATCTGCTGAATGAATCTGGCAATACATTCTGAAGACAGAAAGTTTAGAATATGAAGCAGAAAACCAGATAATAAAAAAGCTATAAGAAATGGACAGAACATCAAGAATTGACAGTATTCAGAAATGTATAAAATAAGGCAGATGAGAAGAGGTTCTTACAAGTTGCAGGGATAAGAGAGCAAGATCGTAAAGAATCGCCCGTGTAACCAGGCAAACAGCTGCATGAAGGAATGTGGTTGATGACACGGCACTGCGCATTAAGACCACAAGTTCCAGGACATGGATCACTGCATTTGTTGTTGATGCAAGCTCTGTCTTTTGCGCAATCTGAGCTGAGAATGCATTCAGGGCGACATCCTGTGTAGGGATCACCAAAATACTGAGGCTGACAGGAGCAAGATCCTGCTCCATTCCTTTCTCTGCATATGGCATTAGAGCCACAAGGAGAAGGCTCACATGGTCGTCTGGGTGCCTCCATTGGTCTCACTGTTACCAACAAGTAAATTAATAACTGAAATGTTTCTATTCATGGGTGACCAGCATTTCTGTGAGTAGTACATGGCACAGAAGCCTTGGTTAACATCCTCAGTTTCAATGTTATATAGTAAAGTGATCATGAAGAAATCAGCACTTTGTTTCATTATATAAGATACTATTCTTAGGACATATGTAGCTAAAATCACTATTCTACTTTAAAAGAATTCAATATATGACAATCCCACTTTTCAGATCTACTTGCCCAAAAAGTTTTGTCCAGTAAATACAGTCCATTATACACGTAAAAATTAATATACAATATAAACATTTCATTATTTGCAAAAATTTTCTTCTCTATGAAATTCACAGACATAACGCTCAAACTTACTGCTGACTTTCCATATCTTTAAGTTCTTAGAATTGGAATTTTCTTCCTCTACCTTGCTGACTAAGAGCAATAACTTTAGCATTCACCGCTCACATTCTCTCTTTGATGAAAGTGGAATATGCATAACAAACTGTGATAAAAATAAGCATTAAGAACTCTAAACGTTCATAATGATGGTATATTAATACAACTACTGTGTTTCTGGATTGATATCGTCCTTCCAGCCGCACTATGGCCCTGGGGTCAACTCAGCCTCTAACAGAAATGAGTACCAGGGATTAATTGAATAATTTTCCTGGGGAGTAAAGCGAGGCCGGCACGTAAGGCTGACAACCTTACTGCCATCTTTGAGCTGACTGTCTAGGCAATGTGGGACCCTCAACGTCTCACAACCATATGGGCCTTCACAGCCTGTTACAGGGATAGCTTTACTTTTTTTATTGTGTTTCTGGATATTTATCCATTTTATTTAAAACACAACATGCTGGAGACTGGATTCTGTCTCTGTCTTCAGGTGGAACCTATTAAGTTGGGCAAAACTGATATAGCTAGTCCCTATCTCCAGACACCTGCATCAACACAAGATACAGTATACAAACCAAGCACAGCACAAACCATCTGCGAGAGTTCAGGTCAAAAGGAAACATAATCTAATCTCCAGCATGTGTTTTAAATAAAAACAGGACAGTTTTTTAATTAAAAACAGGAGGATGGCTAATGTTCAGACACACAATAGTTACATTAAGAAATCTATTGAGAACACTTATACTCTGTAATGATAAATCTTCTGTTACGATATAAAAAGATGTCAAAGCAATATACTCAATACAATTTGTCACTACAGAGAAAAGAACATGACCAGAATCAAGAGCAAAGTAACACTGTGAAATACTGGAAGTCTCACATGCCTGCGCAAATGACATAAAATTAAACACTAAACAATGTTAAGGAAATGATCTCTTTGAGAAGTGAGCAATGCTGAGTCATGCTGGGGACAGAAAGGTTAAAAAGTGGATCTTAAGAGCTCTCTGCTAGTGCTTATGTGAAAGTTCACTTATACCAAGCCTATTTACTTGGGTAAACCAGTGGTTTTCAGAGAAGAATCCTGTCTTCTAGAATGTGGCGCCATGTAGATACTTTCTTAACCCATATTTTGGAGAAACGTATCACCTCCATCTTCAAGATATAATAAATCCGCAAGCAATGAACCAGTGTGAGCACATGTTAACAAAATATCTACATGGTGCCACATCCCGGACGACATCATTCTTCATAGTCACTAGTGTGAAAACCTTAAATCATACATAGTGGTTTTCAGCTTTGTGTTGACTGAAGAACATTGTAATATACTGCTGCGTGTAGACCAGTTGCTAAGAAATGACCCCGTAAACAACGTCCGTTGCTAGGCAACAGAAACCTAACACACACCAATAGACTAACTTGGAACAGGTGCTCTCTAAGCAGTCCATGCAACAGCTGTGTGACACAACAACAGAAGAACTGTTGGAAGTGGTGTTTTCTATGTGCTCCATAGAGCACATAGAGGGTTATAAGCAGGACAAGTCTAGAGTTCAGTTAGTTGGGAGAGAGTTGCCAGCCAGTAAGGATGTGAACATGGAAGCTGAGGAAGCTATGGCTTTGGAAGGTAAAAGGTAAAGTTGTCCCTGTGCTTAAATAATTAAACACTACACCATGAAGGTGAATGGGACAGTGGATATATAGATCCACATTTTCCAGCCCACAGGCACTCACTATACTGACAATGCTATCCAGCTCCTGTAGTGAATTAGTGACAGTGCTATAGTCACTTGTAGTTACTTTCTGTAAGAGTTCAATAAATAAAATTACCAATCCAAACCACGACTATAGTTACTACATGAAATTCTGACAATATCATGATACTTGACTGCAGATAAATTCTATAATCACTTAAATATCTATTTCTGTGTACTTCAACACAGTGTGAATGTAGGACAAACTGCTACCAAAAGAAAAAAAAAATTGAAGAAACTATTACAGATGCCTGACTGAGCTTTGAGCTATGCATAAACTCAGTTAAAATACTACTTCAGTGGGCGTAACGTTTTCATTCAATGTGTTAATCACTTCTGTTCAGGTATGTTTCTCTTAATAAGTGCTTCCTATTCTTATGTTGTTGTTGTCATTGTTGTGGTCCTCTTCATTGTTGCTGACATGAGATCATTAAACAGGAACCAATATATGAATATTAACACTTTTAAAATGTGCATTTAATGAAGACGACAGAGTGTACCTGGATAATGACTGAGCAAACTTAATCTGAGGACATCTTAGAGGTAAAACTGACATTATCAAGTGTGGTTCTTTCTATAGGGTTCAGCTGAGTAGGACCCTTTCCTCTGTGGGAACCTCCCACATTCTAACATTCTATATAAAGAATTTCATTATTTCAATACATTTTACTTTAATAAAAACCCATGCAAGAAAGAAAGCGTTTCCACTAACATCCTATAAAGATTAACCTGAAAATTCCATTCCTGCAAAAACATTTCTTACAGTAACTAATGAAAATTATACAACAGAAATGTTTTGGTTAGGTAAGCACTGTTCAAGATTGAGAGTACATCAGACACAAAAATTATATCAAATTTACAAGTATCCACAAAACAGATTCTTTTAACAATAACCAAATCTCAGTTTGAAAAAAAAACTGTTAGCCCCATCTCCCTTTATATCGATATTCTTTCTTTAGAGATGAAACTTGCAGCTATAAATGAAAATAACTGATGTTACTTACAAAGTACTTCTGGGTATCTTCTATCTAGAAAAGAATGCTGTAGATACTCACATAATATATATCTCAAAGTAATTTGAGAAACTACTTTTAGAATGGAAATCTTGTACTGAACGTTAAATACCATATTTTTACCCATGACAAAATTTCAAATCATGCATAATTTTTGTGAAATATGCAATTACAGTTAAATGCATTATGGAAAATTTGTATGGGAAACTTTAATCAAATTCTGCATTAAAATTAAGAACTGTCTGAAATATTATCAAAGGGAATGTTCATCTCAACGTTAGTCAAAGAATCACATGATGGAGTTTGTACCCTACCATACCATACATACCATGCTGCAATACTGCAATCACTTTTAATTGCATATTCCACAACAATTTTGTGTCAATTAAAATTTTATCAAGGGGCATTTACATCTCAAAATTAATCAAGGAATAATGTGATGGAGTCCACAGATATGAATATGTATACCATGATTAAAAAATGCATTCAAATATAACTACATTTTTCATAAAAAAATGTGTATCACTTTAAATGCTATCTAGGAGAATTCTGGTCTCAATGTTCTTTGTGGAATCACATGGTGGTGTAAGCAGGTACAAATATCTATCTTTGTTGCTACATCATATTCAGCTTTAGTCACATGCTGCACAATAATTGACAATAATTAGCAAGGTAATTTTTCAGCTCAGGGTTCATTAAGGGTCAGAATGGTGAAACATAGCCACTAATATCCATACCATGTTGCAACATCACATCAACTTTAATTGCATTCTTCACAAAATCTATGAGTCAGACAAAATGTTATCAATGGGCATTTTTATTTCAATGTTTATCAACAAACTATGCAGTGGAGACCACCGATGTGAATACCCACACGAAGTTGTTACATTCATTCAACTGTCATTGCCTCAGTATAACATGTAAAATTATACTCTGAAAAGTGTATATGCATATTTAATGCATCACAATTTTCGGAAACAATTTTTTAGCAAAAGAGATTTCTTTGTTTATGTGCAAAAAATTAGGAATGAAAGGCCATAATATTTAACCAGTTCTACCTGAGAGCGTCAGGAAATATTTGGGAGAATATGGACAAAGTGCTTTCTGTGTAGAGACTAAAGTAAACCTTGAACATAAGCCAAACCCATGCAAGCCACATATTGAAAATTCATCCTACCTTGAACTGGATTACAGCCAGAAAATGGATCTCCCTCAAAGTTTGGATTACATGTACACACTGGTTGATGATTATGAACAGTGCACCTTGCATTGAAGCCACATGAGCCAGTGCATGGGTCTCGGCACTTGTTGCGGACACATGCAAGATGTGTGGGGCAGTCTTGATGAATAAGACACTCTGGTCGACAGTTTGGTGGTGCTCCCAGCATTCCAGTAAGACATGAGCAGACAGGTCGCTCATCCACCACTCGGCAGTCAGAATTGGCTCCACATGGTGATGGAACACATGGATTTGTTGGTGGAGCAGGCCTGGGTTCTATGAATGAAAACCAAGAAGTCAGATTAAACAGCTTGATAATGCAGAGCTTCAAGAATGATAGGAAGAAGACATGTTGGCATGTAGGAATGCTAAAGAGATGTTGACAGTTTCCAGTTCATGCTTTGTCAAGTAACATATGATGTGATGCACTGCATTTGACTGGCACACAGAATATGTTGCTTCTTCTGTGGAAAAGATTTGCTTTTGTTCCAAATACACCCAATGTTATGGAGAGTATTCTACTTAGCTTATTTTCAGGCTAATACAGTGCGATACAATATAAATGTTCATGAGGTAACTAAGGTACATTTTCATGCAAACAGCATTCCTATAAAAGATCACTTCAAAATTTCTTACCCTCTTTTAGGCACTGGACGAATGGATCGCCTGTAAAACGTGGTGGACAGCTACAGATTGGGTTGTGATTGACAACTTGACATCGGGCATCAATACCACAAGTTCCAGGACATGGATCTTGACATTTCTGTGAGATGCAAGCTTGGTTCTGAGGACATTCAGAACTTACTACACATTCAGGCCTGCATGATGGGGGACTGCCCAAGAAATTGGGCTGACAAGAGCACACAGCAAGGCCATTAGTTACTCGGCACACACTGTTTGGTCCGCATGGTGATGGGTCACAAGGATTCTGCGGTGGTAATGCTGTTGAAAAAGAGATCAGCCCATCTGTAGCCATACTTGATGTTATTTTTGGACCTACAGATTACCTTATGTAGTTACATTTGAGCGCCTAAAGATAAATGACAGGCAGATAATCAAATGTGTCTAAGTATCTTTATTAAGTAAAATGAAGTGTTTACTGAAGCATTTCAAATTTGGAACACAATACATATACATATAATATATAATAATTTTCCAGTTATATCACATAAAGTTTTTCATTTAAATTGAAATTGAAATTGAATAATGTTTCACAGCAATGTGGTGTGGCATCATAAATGCTCAAAACCTCAGTGTGAACTATTATGACTGTGATATGAACTCAGTCAATTCATTACCATTTAGTCTCTACAGATGAAGAACTAAGTATAGGTAAAATGTTGTTTTCATATTTCTCTTTCATACATTCAATGTAAGACTGAGATGAAATACATTACTGAAATTATACTACTGAAATCAGTTTCATTCCATTATGGTAATGTTTAGCAAGGGTTTAAATCAGAATTACTGGGTTTTTGGTCTTTTTCCATTGCCCAGTAATCTACAAACTAGAAAACACAAAGTTTCAGAAACTGGATCTGTCTGACCTCAGGTGAGACACCTACTCAGTTGGGTCCCTGAGAAAGAGCTAACCTCAGTCATTTGAGTATCTGAGAATTATACACCATACAATCTGATACATTCAAATCTAAAAATATGTTCCCTAAATTTAGCCATACCAAGATGTCTCAATATTGCTGGATTTAACATCTACTGATATTTGATAATTTAAATTAAATCCAACCTTAACTAAAATTATTGGAAATATAGTGAAATCTGGCAGAATCATTACTTTAAGCCTATCAAGTTTCCAAATTGAAGAAGAATTTTTTGAATGAATGAATGAATTGCCAGTGAGATTTTTCATCTAAAATAATACACTTGCAATTTCTTTATGCGTGTATCACAGTAATATAAATGATAGGAAATCCTTCAAATAGAATGTTAATAAAGAATGATAGAAACATCAGGTACTTACGCCTTGGTGGTTCTTGTCTGCATGACTTAAAAGGATCACCCATGAATCCTTGTAAACATGAACACACTGGAATATGGTTCACAACATTACACTCAGCATTAACACCACAAATGCCCTGGCAAGGATCGCGACAGTTCTGTGCCACACAAGCTAAATAACTTGGACAGTCTGAGTTAATAACACATTCTGGTCGACAGCTCACATATGGGTTACCCTGGTACGGTGGTATACATGTACAACGAGCAGTACCATCTCGTGGTGTACACTGGGCATTCTCTCCACATGGAGAGAGACTGCATGGGTCTAGAGGTAAAGGTGGTTTTGGCTCAGCTGAAACAACAAATAACACAAATCATACATACATATACATACTGTCTCCAAAGTGAAATACTTACATATAAGACAGAACGAGAAACAAACTACATAAATATTATTTATAATTAATTGCCTAACAAGTCTTACAGGATGCAGGAGCATATATCATTACACACTCAAGAAAATGAATGGTTTTATCATTATGCAAAATTTCACAGTAAGCTCATATCTACCAACCTGCAGTTACAGAACAGACTTAACGAAGTGGAATAATTTCAGATATGTAGAAAAAAAGGAATGGCATCCTGCTTCATTCAACCCCATTTCAAGCACAGAAAAAAAAATTAAATTAAGTACCAATTTTGAAATATTTTAAATCATGTGAATACTTACGTATAACTATCTTTGAACATCCAACAAATGCATCTCCCACATAACCAGCTAAGCAACTGCAGAATGGTGTGTGGTTGACAACATCACATTTTGCATGGGATCCACAACTGTTGGTGCAGGGGTCCTGACACTTCTCATTGATGCAAGCCTTGTCCCAAGGACACTCCTGATTGAGAACACATTCTGGACGACAGAATGGTGGACTTCCGGTATAGTTGGGTACACAAGAGCACACTGGTCGACCTTGTTTTACTTGACAGATTGAGTTTGGACCACATGGGGATGGGCTGCAGGAATTTTCTGGCACCCTGGGTATTTCTATAAAAGCCAGCACAGAAAGACATTAATTTTATAGAACCTATAACAGAAAAGAACACTGGAGCCATGTACTCCTATAACAATGCTTCCAATATAGATAATACACTTATTTTAGTCTCCTTGGATGATCAGCCTTTTCAATGTGGACTTGTTGTCTTGTGTTTCAGAGACTCTTTATGTCTCCATGATCAGGTGCTGAAGTGACGAGTGCTCTGTTTGCACACTATACTGTCACGTATTTATGGGCATGATTAATAATATTGGGGTTTGGATTGGATGACTGGATTTATTACCACCTTCTTTTACAATCTCTCTTAATCACAATCAATTATGATAACTTACAATAAATGATTGCCCAGGACTCACTCCATTCTGACTGGACCACGACTGTCTCCATTATGGTCTCTCTCTATTCTGTGCTGAACTATGACTGGTTCCATTCTGATCTGACTTTCCTGTTATATAGCATATCAGTATCCACAGAAATGCCTGTTGATCACTTGTATCAATGGAAACATCTTGGTTTCCAAGAATCCATCCTTATAGAAATGTGTCTGTCAACTCATTCCCCAGCAATAGGTCTACATGTCACATGTCAGTGACTAAGATGCAGGTTTGGATTGGTGAATCGGTTTATTGGATCTTCACTAGTTGTAACTACAATTAGTTCTTACACTCTCAAGATTACTGTAACCATAGCACATGTAACTTCACATACTAAGTCTTCTAATTATTCTTCTGGCCACACTGCTGTTCCCTTCGAAATTCAAACTCAAGTAAAGTCAATTCCCATTCCCATATTCTCTCTTATCCTCTCAGCATGGACCATGCAAAGAAAACACAGCCCCCTCTATTGTTGCATGGCGCAGACCACACTGAAAACAAGTCATGTGATAGCTATCTTGCCAGTGCATTGGTGCGCTGATTGTTACCTAGCCATGAGGCAAAAACATTTGCCCTATTTTTGTGTGACCTTAAGCAAGAAGGTGTTTATCATGCCGTTACCTAGCTATGCATGTTGCAATATTTATAAACAAAGATGTCATGCATCTCAGCCTAAACTGGGTGGAGAATGCTGGACAGGTGACGTTTTTCAAGATGATCAGCTGTTTCACTGTTCCTCACATGGTCCAGGATGTGTTGTGTAAAAATAGAAAGTGCAAATGAAATACCATATCAACCCCTGATGACAGAGATGATAGAGAAATATCAAGACACAAACTCCACATTGATATGGCTGAATGCCTGAGAAGACTGCATTGTATGTATAATGCAGCCAACAAAGATTCAAATCATGTATCATACACAGTTTTTAATTATTCCAAATAAATACTGGTCTTCATTTTCACAAGCCTCAGTCAGAAAATGTACTAATGAGTTATTATATCAGGTATTCCTTATAACCTAAGTTTTACTCTTTTCCAAACAAAGTATAATTTATGGAATTTATTACTGATTAATTAACTAAACTAAGAAACTACACTAGTCAATGAATCAGTTAATGAAATTAGTTATGCTCTGCTCTCCTCAATATACTGAACAAGCATCCAAGTTACATATCAATCCTGCCACAACCTCCATGATCTAGTCTGCAAAAATGTATGATATTCTTGTAATTTAGAGCCCTTTCAATATCAAAGTTTCCTATGCAGAGTTTACTGACCACCAAGCACTATTACCTGTCTCTTTTGGCTTCTGACAGCTCACAAAAGGATCTCCTATTTCACCTGGAGGACAGCTACATATAGGATTGTGGTTTATGACAGCACAGCGTGCACCAATACCACATGTCCCAGGGCATGGATCTGTACAATGCTGGTTCACACATGCCAATGTTTGCAGACAGTCAGAGCTTACAACACACTCAGGAGTACATACAGGTGGAGCACCTCGATAACCAGGAAGACATGAACAGGCTGCAAAACCTTGAGGTGATACAAGACATCGGCTATATGGACCACATGGTGATGGGTCACATGGGTTTGCTGACCCAGGAAGTTCTGTCAAGAAGAAAAACAGAACAATGTTTGATATAGTCAGTGTTTTAAAAGAACAATATTGCAATATTATATTTAAGCATCCTGTTACACTCTATACGATATATGATATAAATTCCGTCCTAAGTGCAACAATTTATTGTAGGTCTTTCGTTTTGCTTTCTTCTACACTATATGTTTCAGCCGTAAACAGCCATCATCAGGTGTATACACTCACGTAGCTGTTACACTGCACCCAGTTTAAAAATTAAAAACACATAGGTCTTCCCAATTGGCTAACAGGATCTCTTCACTGATATTTGTCTGATTCGTACATCATCTTTGTCACCCACACATGCCAATTTTGACATTCATGAACTGGCACTTTTAAAATCTTCAGTTCCAATTTTAGAAAATTCCTTTAAATTTTTTTCCCAAATTTTAAAATTTAAAATTTAAAAAAAAAAAAAAAAATTAAAGGAATTTTCTACGTGAGTGTATACACCTGATGATGGCCATTTGCGGCCAAAACATGTAGTGTAGAAGAAAGCAAAACGAAAGACCTACAATAAATTGTTGCACTTAGGATGGAATTTATATCATATATCGAACAATATTGCATTTAAAGAATAAATTAAAAAAGAAATTCAACTGTCCAGTCTATAATGATGTATCTTAAATAAAGTACATTATAATAGCATTGCAGTTCATAAAGAAAAATGTGTTTTCATGATAAATAGCCTTGATTTTAAACACATCTGGCCAATAAATGCTATTAAAGTGTACAAGGGTTGGAACTTTAACAGTGGCAACACTGCTGTAGAGACGCCATGCAATGGAACGAAATATGGTCACTTATACCACACATTAGTTACATACCTACCTTACTTCAGAGAAATGGACTCCCCCTTCCCACATCACGCACATGTGCAGTGACGAGAAGAACAGAGCCTTGTGATAGCTGGCGGTCTAATGTAGTGTTGTCACGATGTTTTTGAAACAGGAACAGAGTTGGATAAAGATTGAATGTGCCAGAGGCCGTACAGCACAACATTGTCATCAAGGTCTTCAAGAGGCTTGCAGGAAATCTGCACTGCCTTACAGAACAGTGGCAACGTGGGTAAAAGCCTTCAATGACGGACACCAAAATGTGGCAGACATGCATCGGCCAGGTCGTCCTAGTGTCAGTGAAGAAGTGTATGCTCTTTTTTCTCGTTACTGGAGAGTGATCAACTCCATACGATTCGTGAGCTGGCCTGAGAGACAGGATTAGCACATATGACTGTGCTTCACATTCTGAAAGAACGCCTGAGCATGAGAAAAACTGCATCATGATGGGTTCCACATGATTTGATGAAAATGCAGAAAGGGCTATGATACGACGCTGCTCATAACCACTTGGAGCGCTTGAGCATGAAGGAGAGGCTTTCTTACGCCATATCATTATGCCAGATGAGACATGGGCCAAATCATACGAGCCACAAATGAAACGCCAATGAAACAAATGGTGTCATTACGGGTCACCACAAAAATCAAAAGTTTGTCAGAACCCCAGCAATGTGAAAGTGATTCTCGTGTATGACTGTGATGGTGTTATCCTAACATATACCATTACCCGACAGAAGACCATCAATGTGCAGTATTACTGTTCATTTTTGGAACACAACCTGCGACCAGCTTTGAGAAAGAAGTGGTGAAACTTTCTGCAGAACCCACTCATCATTCCGCAGGACAATGCTCGGCCGCATGCAGCGCAAGCTGTGGTTGATTTGTTCAATCGATGGGGCTGGGAAGTGCTGTACCATCCACCATACTCCCCGGACTTAAGCCCTTGTGACTTTGACTTGATTCCGAAGATGAAGGAACCACTTCGTGGCATTCACTTCAGAACTGTTCCAGAGATTCTTCAGGCAGTGGACTGCTCCATTCGAACTATCAACACAACAGACGCTGCTAAAGGTATCCTACGACTTCCACATCACTGGCAACGGGTTGTATACAACGCTGGTGACTACACTGAAGGACAGTAAAGCTTCGAAACATGCATCTATTTTGTATCAGTTGTAAATAAATAGTTGCCACTATTAAAGTTCCAACCCTCATAAAAATTCACAAGTACCGTATTAATTGTCCCTTATATTATACAACAGTAAATAACACCACAGGTGCAGTTGGCACACTAGTGCAATGCTAAGGAAAGAGCACTTGTTTATATTTTTGGTGCCATGTACTATATTTTATCCATTATTATTTACACTCCATCCACTATGAGAATAAGGGTGCATCATCATCAGCTAGTGACATGGACCAATATGTCATCATTCATTCAAGTTACTACATTTTATTTTCAACACACAGCTGGTATTCATGTGCTGGTCAGGAATTCAAACATGCTTCCATGGGATTTTTCCTCCACAATGTTGCCAACACAAGGTAAGACATAACCTGGTTCAGAGAGCAGATGGACTTAGTATATCAGAGATGCACATGATTTGATATACCGTATTTACGCATGTATAGGCCGCGTGCGTGTATAGGCCGCACCACAATTTTCAGACAGAAATTATAGAAAAATTAATTTTCTTGGAATATTATTTCAGGAGTAGAACAGCCTGTATTACTAATTATGAATATAATTTTTTTTAAATGAAGTGTGATTTCGAATATTTCGAATATAAGCCGCACCCCAGTTTTCCTCTTGAATTTTTGGCAAAAAATGTGCGGCCTATACATGCGTAAATACGGTATATTTTCACATTATTTCACTTTAAGACATACTTTCAGAATGCACTAATGTGTTATTTCAACATGTTATTTACAGAGTTCAAAAGCAATAAACATGCTTCATACCAGGCCTAAATGGATAGCAGGAGAGAAATGGATTTCCAGTCATCTCAGGTGGGCAGTAGCAGACTGGTATGTGATTCACACGATCACACAAGGCACCAACACCACATGCTCCTGCACATGGATCTGCACATTTATTATTGATACAGGCACGGTTGCTGGGACAGTCTGAGTTGAGAACACACTCTGGCCGACATGCCAGGTATGGGTTACCAAAGTATTCAGGCTTGCACACACATGTTAAAACTGCATTCTTTTCCAGACAAACAGCATTAGCACCACACTGTACTGTCTCACATGTATCTTGAGGTACATCTGAAAAGAAAGTTCACAGGAACAATTTACCTTCACTCTCTCATTGCCAGTGATATGATGTTCTATAACAAGCAACTGTGAATTTAATTTTATCATCATATTTTGCATTAATCTTCATTTTCTTTTTTAAGATTTACAAACCTCATACTGATAGAGTAATACCATTAAAACCCCACTATCAGTACAATATTATATCCTGAATGTTCTGCCACTTCTAGGTATTATCTTTCCATGTCTCTTCATTTCCTATATTTGTTGAAAAATTTATTTACTTTGTTAATACACTGAAGAAACAACAACAGGTATGTCTGAACCAGCTACTGTTCAAGAAACTAAATGATGATAGGTAAATTTGGAAAATTTTATAAAGTAACTTTTGCTACAGCCCCTTCTTTTATCAGTTATCTATGTGAGGCCTTGAACTGTGTACATTTTATAATAGCCAGGTCTCAAACAGAAGTAACACTCAGTAGAGAATTCTGAATTACAGATAAAAATAACATATATCAAGCTTCTTGAATATTTATATTAGCTTTTGCAGAATGGCCCTGGTGGCCTTGAGGCAACACTACACTATCATTCAGAGGGGCGTGACTCTGATTCCCTGTCAGCTATGTGTGTGCAGATTTTTCCTCCCACAGACTGAAAATTTTGCCCGTCATAGATACAAATTTGGGAGTATGAGGGATTTTAGTTCCTACTCCATAGTTCAAAACCTGTGTTAAGTTATAAGTTTCTTCACACCAGTCATCACTCTCACAATCACTCTGCCACTGGGGGTAAGAGATCTACCCTGTGGGTGTTCCACTTCTAAAATGGAACTCCCCCGCTTCCCTAGGCCAGATGGATCAAAGTAGACCGCATATGGAGGCACTAGACAAACAACATATTTGCAAAATATCTTTGCTATAACTATGTTTCTTTAGTTAAAATAACAAATATATATTTAGCTTTCAGTCTGACAGCAATAATGAACCATCACAGCTATACGTATGAAATTTAAAATGGAGACAAATTACTAACATTCCTATAAATTCTATTCACAAATCAAAAGATATAATTGTGGCAAAAATTTGAGAATATATCCGAAATTTTAAGGTAGATATAATCTGAATTAGTGGAAATTATTCAGAGATTTGGAACACTATGTATTACTATTACTAATCTATGGAGATAGAGAAGACAGGCAATGATTGGAACAGAATATACAGGTAGCTGGATATAGTTTATACTATAAGTATCTTGATAAGTAAGTTAAACATGATTAATCATAGCAAACAATATTCATAGATAAATAGCAAATTTCATGTTTTACTTTGTGTACACTAAAGAGAATATGATATAAATTAATAATTAAAATGGAGCAAGATTCTTAACTACTTAATGAAAGTGTTATTTCAAAAACACATCAGAGGGCCCAAGAACAGTATACTGTTAACAAATATATGAAGGCATAAATGAATTATCTTGCAAAGCAATGGCAAACACAGTGTTCTTCAATAAATTAAGGTTAACTTTAAACAGAGCAGCAAGAGGAAAAAGGAATTTTAACTGTGACTATGAGAAAAAAAAGGTAGTTATCCCTGGCCCCTATGATAAGGATTTTTATCTAAGTTGGGTGTGAAATTGACACCTATGAGCACAACAGGAGGATAACCATCTAACTTTAATTATAAAATTAATTTTATTCTTAATCTGTCATGTTTGCATCTTTTCACATGCAAGTGCAAACAGTCCTTGTCACCAATCATTTTTTACAAATTAAATATGCCAGTGAGGGCGACTTTTAATCAACTGAAACATGTATGGCAGAGTACAAAAAGATTTCAGTCAAGGAGAAGCTGACAACATATCGTTTTTATTTGTTACTCTTGACGGTTTTAATGTTTCATATTTACGATGTAACACAACAAGGGTAAACTTAAGTTCAAAATTAGGGTTTTGAATTGTTTCATATTTGGTCCGTTACACTATCAATCACAAATTGTCAATGAATAATCCGTCAAGTGTAACAATGTTTTTAGGTCACTTATTTATTTCACTCGCCTTACATGTATCGGTTCAAAAGAAACCATCATCAGAGGCACGTTTAGAAACACATGAAACCACTGGCGTTGTAGAATGTACACAGTATGTAAGCTGCGTGAACACTGCTACAGATGTCGGAGTGTAAAAGCACAACACTTTCTAGTAGCGTTGAATGCACGTACAACTCTTGCATTCCATCCGAAGAATGCCCTCAAATTGAGGCGTCAATGTTAAAATATTTAAAAGTTTAACACATTTGAAATAAATTGTACGGTTCCTTCTTGTTGATTCGTCCCGGTGATGGGAATCGTCAACTTGAGGTTGTGTATGCTTTTGGTCGGATGTGTCTTACGAGTTGTGTGTTGTGTACTGCGTGACAATTTGTCAAAATTACTGATTTCTATTCTTTCTAGTCTCCCCATACTTAGGATGAAGGTCAAATTCAGATATTTGATGGAAAGCAGCAAATATTATAAATTCTTACCATAACTTTACCCTGTAATTCAAAATTAAATAAAAATCTGGCTGTTGAGATTTCTGTCAGCATGGATAAAATATGGTTTTGTTTACTGATAATAAATTAAAAGCTTTTTGCATTACTCCACATTCCACCTCCCTGACTCAACAAACATTATAAATTTTCTTATTTAAAAATCAACAAACAAACAAGCTCTGTGGTCTGTAGTTTGCAAGCGAAATATACCAAACAAGTGGCCGCCGCTTGTCGGCAAAGTTAGTGCCAACTTCTGCAGATAGAGGGTGTCACATGGTCAGCTCAACAGATCCCCACGGCCGTTAATCTCAGTTTTCTAGACCGGAGCTGCTATTCCCTTGAAATAGCTCCTCAGTTATCTTCAAGAGGCTGAGTGGACCACGTTCCAGACCCACTACTTCTCAGAAAATCTGGTAGCGCCGGGAATCGAACCCGGGACCTCTGGATCTGTAGCCAGGAACTCTGATCACTAGACCACAGAGGCGGTCATAAATCAACACAATAGTAATTAAGCATTAACCCATTCACTGCTAGGTATTCAATGGACCAACCATACCTACTAACCATACTGCAAGAAAAGTTTTGAACTCACAAATAGATGAATTTGTTGACTAAAACTAAAAATACTGAATGCAAATAAACTCTGGAAAACTCCATACTGTAGTCACAGAGAAAAAAGCTGCAGTTTTATGGCATCTCTTAAAGAAATTGATACCCACTTCCAGTGGTGCATTAAGATGGTACGGGTTGCACTTGGTGCAAGGCAAATTCTATCAAAAAATGGATAAGGCAGTGAATACACATGATGTGTATTGAACTTTTATTATACTTACTTGGTGGTGGGGTGGAGCAGTGTTCAAATGGATTGCCCACTAATCCAGTTGGACAGCTGCAAACTGGATTGTGGTTGACAACCATGCAGTTGGCATTCACACCACATGATCCAGGGCATGGGTCACGGCACTTACGCCCAAGACATGCAAGATTGAATGGGCAATCTGAATGAGCAAGACATTCAGGTCGACATAGAAGGTTATTGATGCTAATAGGACCACTGCAGGGGTCACACATAGCTACATGCCCTCCATATACATTGCAATAAATGCCTGGATCACATGGTGAAGGAGCACAAGGGCGGGTAATGTTCATATCTGCTGGAGCTGGAGCTGCAAGAGAGACAAACATTTTTACAAATTATCTTCAAAAGATATGATAAAGTGTGGAAATTATGTGACACATGCACATGCTCATACACTCTGTCAGGGACTCATAAATGTGGCCATGTTTGCATTAGTGGCAGAAAACAAGCAGGCAAAGATACCTTGGCTGGAATGAATCTAAGTGTATTTGTCTGACTACTGACCTCTCCCACCAGATATACATGACCTAACAGTACACGTGCATTTGCCTTTTTTGTTTTGAAGAATTTACTGTGCAATCTTGGTTTATACTTTCTTATTCAAAGATTGTGATTTAGCTCATAAAATACAGTATTTCTTGTACACTAAAAAAAATTTTTTTAGCAAATTTATTAATCATCTCCACAGAGAGGAATCCTTCGTGATAATTTAACAGTGTCTGATTTAGTCAAAAAATGAATTACCTTTCACAGAACCTGAAAGTTAATTAATGCAATCTCAAGAACCTGCTACTGGTCTCTGCCCTAATCCAAATAAATCCAGTCAACACTTTCCCACAAATTTTAATATTATCCTCCCATGTACACCCAGATCTTCCAAAGATCCCTTTCCTTCAGGTTTTCTGATCGAAACCTTGAATCCAATTCTTGTATCTCTGATATGTGTTCATGTGACTCCTCCAGACTAATCTTCCTTGATCTGGTCATCCAAATAACATCTGGTGAAGACTACAAGTTATGAAGTCCCTCACTGTTCTCCAGTTTCTTGTTACTCACTACCTCTTAATTCCAAACATTATCCTTAGCATCCTGCTCTCAAACCCAATCTATATTTTTCATTAATGTCAGAGATCAAATTTCACAAGGCAATAGGGTTAAATTACAATTCTGAGTATTTTAATATTTNGTATTTTATGTTTTGTATTATTTATGACATGTTTTATATCCATTTTTTGGATCTTTGAAACTTGTTATTGTTTGATTCATTGTACTATCTAGTCGTGTAATTTATGCATGTATCCTGTTTTATATTTAGTTCTGTGACATGTTCTATATCCTTTTTTGGATTTCTTGAACAAATATAAATACAATACAATACAAAAAAATATGTGTTCATGTGACTCCTCCAGACTAATCTTCCTTGATCTGGTCATCCAAATAACATCTGGTGAAGACTACAAGTTATGAAGTCCCTCACTGTTCTCCAGTTTCTTGTTACTCACTACCTCTTAATTCCAAACATTATCCTTAGCATCCTGCTCTCAAACCCAATCTATATTTTTCATTAATGTCAGAGATCAAATTTCACAAGGCAATAGGGTTAAATTACAATTCTGAGTATTTTAATATTTACATAGATTTCATTTAAATACATTTTAAATATCATACCTAGTTTCATGAGTGTGATCATTATCATAATTACATCAAAGTATAAAATATTATATAAACAGTATTCCATTCTCTTTATGAGATAAAAAGAGTTACTTACGTCTTGGTATGCACTGGATGAATGCATCTCCTGTATGTCCCTCTGGACAGGCACAAGTTGCAGTATGATCTCTAACCAAACAGATGGCTTTCAGGCCACAAACAGCACCAGAAGCACACGGATCTATGCACTTTCTGTCTAGACAAGCCTTGTCTAATGGACAATCTGTGTTGAGTACACATTCAGGATGACAGCCGACTGAAGGATCACCTTCAAAACCTTCCATACATGTACACACTGCTCGTCCTCCCAGCACCTGACAGTATGCATTAGCAGCACATGGGTTTGGGTGGCATGAATCACTTGGTGGTGGAACTGAAAAAAACACATACAAATTCTTGAAGTTAAATAAGTTCCCATTTGCTCTTAATTTCAGACACGCTCCAGCAGCATGTTTTTATCCAAGCTTATTTACACATGACTGTCATTGATTTTTTCTTTATTTTGATTTCATACTTCATATGTAATTTTCCATACTGTCATGTGTTGTGCTAGGTATGACGAAATTAACAGGTTCTAACTTGGATGACTGGATTTAATGGCACTTCGGTTACAGTCTCTCTTAATTACAATTAATACGGCGCCATAACTGTTTCCACAATTTACAGTTCACTATTGCACACGCACTACGGTTCTCAGTTTCCATTAGTTGTCTCCTAGCAACGAATCTCGACACAGACACTACCACTTCAGATCACTATTAAGGCTTCTTGTCTTCTGTCACTCTGTACTCCTCCGACCTAATCTGCACACAATCTTCACAACTGATGCTCCATTCTCGTCCTTGTACTCTCAACTGCTGAAAGCTCCTGGACTCTCCACTAACTTAAGCTTAAATAGGTCTTCATCAAATAGGCACCACACAGACAACACAGAAAACATCTTTAATTCTTGATGCATACTTCTGTAACGCACTCAACTGAAGGTTGTTTACATTTCATTGCCTAGAAATAGAGATTTTTCTATTGTTTCCTTGTGTGTATTTGGCCTACGGGTGTTTACCAGTCCATTAACTAGCAATGTTCTGGCCATCCACATTACAATATTTTTGACAACATTCACTTATCAGAATAAGTGAAACAGAAGTTTGAATATGGATACTCAATTGGTTCTGCCTTTGCATCCACCCTAGTACTGTACAGGTTTTCACTTAATTGTTCCTATTAGTGAGAAAAATAGATCATGCATATACTTATACTTATCCTGTTACAAGAATTTTGGCAAGGTTTAGCAATGTTCTGGATTTTCTTTTATTCCAGCAAAGTACTGTTCTTTTTAAAATAAGGTAATCCTCTAATTATAATTCAGCTTACATATTTGAGTTCTGAAGGGGCAGAGAATTATAACAGAATGATTAAACTGACCTGATATATATATTATGTTAAAGGGAGTTTCAGAAAACCTTGTTAGTTACAACAAACGTGTTTATCAAAATTTATACAAAGTAATTCAATTTTATCTTGCTCCAAAAGACATGTGCTGATTGAGCATTGAAGGTGTTCTTAATAAAATTACCAATGACTATCTTCAGCTAACAGATACTATGGAGACTGTCTTTGTAGACTGAAGCTTTCATTGTTCCCTACAGATTAAAATAAGAGGGACTATGATCAAGCAACCTCATTGGTCAAATGTCCTTTGAAATTTGTCATTTACCAAACACATCACACAGAAGCACCATGGAAACATAAGCTGTGTGCACTGTAACACCATCCTGCTGGAAGCTGACTCAGGCAATACTGTCCTCATTTGAACGGCCAATGACAGGGTACAGAATCAGTGGACAATAATGGTAAAAGTTGAGAGTATTCTCAAAAAACATGGGCCCAATTACTTGACTTCATGATAAGTTCACACACAATACATCAACCTTCAATCATGCAGCAATGTCTCCATAATTTCATGTGGATTAAATGTTGACCACATATGGCTGTTTTTTTTTTGTGCCAACATTTCTCTATAAATGGAGCCACACTTTGCCCTTAGAAATGCAATGTCCAGAATATCATCTCCATTAGCAGCAAGGAAATCTCTAAACCATCAACAATACTGCACGCACATGAACAAGAGACATTCCTATGGTTCATGCACTCATGCTATCTTACATGGACACAGGTGCGATTTTAAGTGCTTTCTGTGTTAATGAATATGAGACGCCTGCTT